GAAAAGAGAGATAAAGAGAAAATACTGAAAGCAGCTAAAGATGATAAACACATGACACACTAGAGAACAAAATGACTGGACTTTTCACTGACTTCTCACCTGAAACCATGAAGGTTGATAATAGTGGGGAAGGGCGGGGGCGGGGGGTAGTATCTTCAAAATACTGAAAGAAAAAGATCATTAATAAAGAATTCTATATCCAATAGGATAAATGAAGATTAAATAAGTATCTTCAGATTAGAAAATCATCTAAATTTATTGCCAGCAGATCTGGACAAGAAATGCTGAAGGAAATTCTTCAGGCTAAAGGGAAATAATATCAGAGAAAATCTTAGACCTTCACAAATGAATGAAGAGGACAAACAAAAAAATACAGAGAACAAACTGGTGGTTTCCAGAGAAGAGGTGGATGGAGAGATGTATGGAATATATAAAGGGGATTAAGACTTGGCTTGATGAGCACTGAGAAATGCATTGAATTGTTCAATCGATTTATCGTACACCTGAAACTAATATATAGCACTGTATATTAAGTATACTTTAAAAGGAATGAATGAGCAGAAATGATAAATATCTGAGTAAACATAGAAGATGTTTGTCCTTTTCTCTAAAAGATAGGACACTTTAAAGCAAAAATTATGTTACCTTGTGGTTTATAAAGTATATAGTTATATATAACAAATACAGCATAAAGGATATAGAGGCGATGGGGTAAATGGGCCCATGTCTTCATACAACCCATGAAGTTGTATGATATTATCTCTAAGTAGTTGTGAAAAGTTCAGTAGGTGTATTGCAATATTTAGAGACACTACTCAAATATAAGACAAAGAGGTAGAGTTAACTATCAGTAGATAAAATGGAACTCTTAAATACCTGACTGTGTTAAAAGACAGGAAAAGGAGAACAAAGGAACAAATATCAAAAGAATTTTTTAGATGGTAGACTTAAGTCCAACCATATCAATTATTATATGAAATATTTGTGGACTAAACAGTTTAAAGGCAGAGATTGCCAAAATGAATAAAACAAGACTATATTCTGTCTAGAAGAGCTGCACTTGAAGTATAAAGAGACAGACTATAAGTAATAGGATGGTAAAAGAACCTGCAAATGGGGAGCATGACATCAGATGCAATAGATTTCAATGCAAAACACAGTAGCAGAGATAAAGAAGGACATTCATACTAATAGAAGGTCAACTCATCAGAAAGACATCACATGCATAAAGTGTTTATGTACCTAATAAAAGAGTTTCAAAATCCACAGAACAAACTTAACAGAATTTTTTTTAAAGATTTTATTTATTTGAAAGAGAGCACAAGTGGGGGGCGGTGCAGAGGGAGAGGGAGAAGCAGACCGCTGAGTAGGAAGCCCCATTTGGGACTCAATCCCAGGACTCCAGGAACATGACCTGAGCCCAAGGCAGATGCTTCACCACCTGAGCCCTAAATTCAATCAAATTAAAGGGAGAAATAGACCATCTCTCAATCATAGTTGGAAGTTTTAATATTCTTAACAACTGAAAGAACAAAACACAAAAAATCAGTAACGACATAGATGATCTGAACATTATCAACTACACTGACCTAATTTATATTTCTAGAATACTGTAAATGTGCAAAGTAAATATTTTTAAGTGCACATAGTATAGTCAACAAAATAGACCATATGTTAGTCGATAAAGCAAGCCTCAATACATTCAAAGGGAATACAGAGTTTCTCTGACCACAATAGTGTGGGAATGGGGCACTTGGGTACCCTAGAGGGCCAGTGAGGGGATAAGTATGGGTTCAGAGAGCAAGCACAAGCAGGTGTGGAGGTAGGGGCAGAACATTATGAAGAAGAGACAGAGGATGGGTGAGGGCACCAATAACCCACCCAGACCCCAGCCTCATGGTCATTGGCTGCCACCTGCCTTCAGAGCTGCCAGGAGGGAGTGCTACTATCAAAATGGCCTAGGCCTTAAAGCTCAGGACAGAGCCCCAGGGCTTCCTGCTTGGCTTCCTTGTCTACCTGAGGGACTAATAGCTTGTCCTCCCTGCTCTGGCCACAGAAGGAGAGCACCTAGCAACATGTGGAGTGTGGCCACTCCAAGGTAAGCTGCTTGGGCTGGGGGGCTGGGATTCAGGTGGGCTTACTCTGTGCCAAAAGGGAGGGATGAGCAAACCCTTTGAAAGGACAGGAAGGGTCAGAGCGGAGTTTACTGAGGGCTCAAGGGAAGGGCCTGCTCTGCCCCAGTAGGGAGCCTCAACCCTTGTTCTGACTGAAGGTACCAGTTGAAGGCAGCGACCCCAGAACCTTCCTCCCCACAGAAGAACTCTGTCCAGGGCTAGGCTGAAGGGGGATGGGAGGGGTTGGAAGTTCTGGTCGGACTACAGCCCCAGAACCAAGAGCTGCCACAGTGGCCCCACAATGTCTGTATTTAGTGACAGGACCCCATTGGGTTGAGGTCCAGGGCTACCCTCATCATTCTGTTCCCCTGAAAGCCTCAGGTGAAAGGAGATAAGCTCAGGCCCCCAGCAAAGCCCCAGTGAAGTAGGCAGCATTGTCAGGACAGTGCAAAAAGAGAGGTGCTTTGTGCCCCAGTCTCTTGCTCATGGGTCGGGCCCTGCTCCTTTCCTTTCTTACAAGGAAAATGGTGGCTTGGTTCAATGAAAGCCAAAGGGAAGAGCGGCTGTTTCTCCTGGTCAGGAAGGGAAGGATGCACTTCCTAGTGGGGGTGTCTGGGGGAAGGGGGCCATCGTGTGCTAGCATCATGAGAGCTGTAGTACTTGTACAGTGGTGGAGGTCAACGGCACTAGACCAGACCCTCTGGGGTTGAACACTGGTTTCTCCACCTACTAGCTTATAATCTCTCCAAGCCTTGGTTCCCTCGACTGTAAAATGGGAAAGCTAACGGCATCTATTTTATGACAGTTGTTGTTAGGACTAAATGGGGTTTTAGCACAGTGTTTTGGCAGTAGATATTATTATGGGTGGAGCACCACATGTAGACCTAGATCCTCTATCTGAACGGACATCTCATCCAGACTCTGACTCAAATTCCAGGGCCCGGTTGAAGGTGGCCGGAGTGCTGCAGGACTCCTACCTCCACTGGGGAACTTTCAGAGGGAGTCAGGGGTGGGACCCTGCTTGCCCGGGCCTTTCCAGCTGGGTGATTCTCTGAGAGCTCTGGGCCAGGGGTCACAGGGAGGCAGCCAGCCTCTGAGGGCCCATTGTTCTTCTCTGAGCTGGGAAAGATGCCTTCTCCCCACCTCTCTTCCCCCTGATGCCTGACTCTGCATGCTCAGGAGCAGACCAAAGGTAAACAAACACTGCCTTCTCTCCCTGTGCAGCTCACAAAGAGCTCTCAGTGTCTCACAATAGTCCTGTGATTCCCAGCCTTCTGAGCTCAGTGCCTCCAGTTCACAAATGAGGAAATTGAGGCCCACAGGGAGGAAGTGGTATATGTGATGCCCCAAATAGAGAAGTGGCTCATCCAGGATTCGGTCTCCCAGTCCTGTATCTGGTATTGCAGACTCAGGGGCACAACAAGTTCACAGCCATGCACCGACAGCTGCTCCCCCCCCCCCATGCACATACACACAGACACACACAGTACACAGCCCAGGGAGATACAAAGGGAGGGGCAATGGCCTAAACCCTCCCTCCTCAGCAGCCAGGTGATGATAGCTAGGTTTCTTTTTGTTTGTTTTTTTGTTTGTTTTCCTCCCTAGATGAGCTTCACAGGTAACTGGAGCAGCAGAAGTCCTCAGCTTGTCTTGTCTTCTCCCCAGGTGGGATGCCTGCTGCCCCAGTAGGGGCCAGGGTACAGCTGTGGCCACTACTTGGCCTAGTGTTAAAGGGGGGAGAGGGAAGCAGGAACCAAGGTGCCCTCCCTACCTGAGGGATTGCCAGAGAGTATGACCAAAGGCTGAGGGCTGTGCATGTGACTCGTTTAAAATCAAAGGACGTGGAAGGGGAGAGACCAGAGTCTAGGGTGACCATTCAGGTTTTCCTGGGTTTGGGATGTGCAACTTTCAATTTTAAAACCTGGAAAGTTCCAGGCAAACTGGGATGAGCTGGTCACAGTCTTCCACAGCTTCTAGTCTGGGAAAACAAGACCTCCAGGAATACATAGAGGAGACTACAGGCTAGGTCCAAAAAGGAAACAAGAGTGTCAGGGATGAGAGAGACACAGCCACATGGTGGTTGGCACCTCTGCAACTTTGGCTGAGTAGCACCACTCCTCCTCGTTTGCATACGGGTTCTTCCCACCCCAGTCAAATCTGTTGGAGTCAGGCCCCTCCCTTCCAACAAAGACACCCAGAGACCTGGGAGTGGTGGGCCACTTCCTTGCAGGTCCTTGCCAGCCTGGGATGGGTCAGTGCTCAACAGGCCCCAATTTTCACCTTCTTTCCTGGGGAACTGTCTCAGACCATATCTCTGGCACAGCCCAGGAGGCCATCTTTCCAAGTCCCCAGATGGCTAGTTCCCAGTAGATATGAGAAACCTCTTCCTTCCATATAGGGAAACAGAAGGTAAAGGTGACCAGACACACAGCTGTGTGCCTTGGTTTTCTTATCCTGAAAACAGGGATACTGTCCCTTTTTTGTAGAATTGTATTAAACATCAAATGAGCAGCTGCTCAATAGAGGTTTGCTGCCGAGCCTGTTGGAGGAGATGCCTCTCTTGGGTCCAGAGGTCATTTGGGTTTCTGTTTCTTCAGCTCAACTCGGGTACATGCAAGTCCCAGGTGTTGCCTCCAGGGAATGGCAAGATGGGAGATGGTTGAGGAAGGGGATGCTGAGGGTGGTGGGAGTGGGGGGAGGGAGATTGGAGAGGCTGGAATTTAGGATGAGAAGAACACACTGGATGAGGAGCAGGTCCCAATTGCTGGGAACCGAGGGGTTCTCAGCAGGCTCAGGGTAGGATTCATTCGTGATGCCCAGGTCTCTGGCATTCTTCAGCACACAGAGGCATGGGTCTCCTTGGGCCCTGAGAGGCCCAGCTGACCTGCTGCCCTCCTGCCCAGTGGAAGGAATGGGCTCCCCCGTCATCCCGGCCTGTGCAAACAAACCCCCAGCGGTCTGATCCCTGTTTCCTCTCAGGCCCTGACCAGGGCAGTCAGCACCATTAAGTTCTTCCTCTCTGAGGCTTTCCTGGGTCGCCACTTCGAGGCCGTGGAGTTGGAGGGCAGCGAGCCCGAGCCAGGAGACCTCTTCCTGTTCAGGCTGTTGTCCCCCACCGGACGCTGGTGCGGGGCCCACGTGGGTGTGTACTGTGGCCACGGGGAGATCATCGACTTTGAAGGTGAGCATGTCCGGCTGGGACACCAGTGGGTGGGGCAGCGAGAACGAAAAGCGGGTTCCATGCTGGAGGTGCGGGTCTCTGAAGATGGGCGACCCGGCACGCAGGGTGCAGGGCTCAGGGCCCCCAGGGCCTGGGAGATTTGGCTGCAGGATCAAGGCTGATCTGCTCCCACTGGGCGACCCCTGCAGGGAGGAATGTCGCCGGCCAAGGGCCTCACCCGTTACTGGGCTCCTATGAAGGCATCATATCCAAACAGGGGCAGCGCCCAATGCTGCGCTCCGGCTCGCTGTGGCGTGTGCTGCGTAGACGTGGCGGCGTGGACCGCGTGGCTCTGGAGCGCCGCGTGCGGGAGGCAATGGATGCGGACCCGCCCCCATATCACCCCACGCGCAGCAACTGCGTGCTGCGTCTGCTGGGCCCCATGCCCATCCTGGACCCCCTGCAAATAGATAGCGGTCCTATTAACTCGGTGAGTGCTGCCCAGCTACCCTTGCACCACCTCACCTCACCTCCCAAGCCAGTTACCAAATGCCGCTAACCAGTGTGCTTCTGCAAAATTCACACTTTCCCTCCCAGCCCGGGCCACGTTCCTCAAACACAAGGTCCACTTTACTCTGGCAGACCCAAAGCACCCAGAGGGAAACTAGGCCTGCCAGCTCGTGGAGATTCCACTTCTCTGAAACTCTTGGGCCCACTCCAGGAAGGCCCCAGCTCACAGATCTTGGCTACATCTGTTTCCTTCAGCCTACCAACTTCTAAACCCAGGCGCTGCCCTGGTCCTTGTTACCCTCCATTCCCGTTCCCCCAGGGGAACCTGCCTAGGAGCCATCTTCCTGGGCCCTGTCCGTTTACACCCAGGCCCAAAAATTCTGGTTCTGGAGACACTGGGATCCTAGTCTATAGATTAAGACTCAGCCCTATAAACTCTTCTTCTCACCACTTCTTCTGCTCACCAAGTCAAGCCCTCTTCAGCTCCTCCTTCAAGCCCAGGGAAGAGACCCCAGCCATCCAATCCGACGCCCAAACTCACGCCCAACTAGATCCCACCCCTTTACCAAACCTGGACACTACTTTCTAGATCCAGGCCGTCTTTCCTTGGGGTACTTCTGGCCTTGGGAACTGAGCTGGGGGCCTCACATGATCCAGGGGTCCTGACTGTCACAGCAGACCTTACCCCAGCCTCTTTCTTCCCTCTCTCCCTTCCTTCCTAGGTGTCGGTGGACTTGAACTTGGCTATGGACTAGGTGTGATCTTAGGCCCTCCTGAATAGGCACGGGGCCTCAGAAATGGCCATTAAACTATTTTGCAAAGATGAATTCCGGGCTCACTGCCGCTTCTATTCAGTCTCCGTTTCTCTGCCTGCAGCCTGCTGTAGGCTCCTCACTAGGACAGACCTCCTTAAATTCTGTCGCGTTCAGGAACCCCCACCCCCGGCTTCCTGGTGAGAAACCAAAACACCACCAGAGGGCCCAGATTTTGCAGGAAAGATGTTGCAGGGAGACGGAGGGTCCTTGGTCTCTGAAGTGGGTCTCGGGGTGCAGTGCCTCCCTCCCGCTCTAGGACCCCCCCTCCCCCCCAGCGCTGTGACACAGCCTCCTCTTCAGTCCCCTGCTTTCCTTCCTCTGCGTGGGCTAGCGTGTGTGGCTGTGTCTGGAATGAGCGGAGCCCCTAGAGGCCCTTCCACCGAGACCCTGCGTCTCCAGGAAGGCTGTGCCACCCTCAGTCCAGCGGCGGGGCGCGGAGGTGCATCCAGTCCTTCTACTGGACCGAGGGTTCCTGACGGGCAGGGGGAGGGGGCGGGGGTTTCCGAGGCCTGCGGGCGGGCCCCGCCCCCTTGGCTCAGCCCCGCCCCCCGCGGACCCGCCCTCCGCTCCGCACGCGCCGGTCCCTTTAAGAGCCTCTCGGCGCGGCCCGGATTGAGAAATCAGCGCTCCGCCTCTGCCCGCGCCGATTGCGGCCTCTGCGGAGCCCGGCCCGCGCTGCTTCCCCGGCCCCGGCCTCCGCCCCAGCCGCCCCATGTCGGCCGCCCCCGCCTACGGCGAGGACAAGGGCGGCTCCGCCGGCCCCGGGGAGCCCGAGTACGGCCACGACCCGGCGAGCGGCGGCATCTTCTCCTCCGACTACAAGCGGTGAGGAGCCCGCGGCGCGCCGGCACCATGGACAGCGCCCGGCCGCGCGGACCGGAAGCCCGCCCTGCCCCCTCCCCGCGCCCGGCGGCGCCCGGGCCCTGCCCCCACCCTGCCCGCACCCCGTCCCCAGCCCGTCCCCAGCCCGTCCCCGCGGCCCCAGCCCTGCTCCGGGGCCCAGCGGGGACCGGGAAGGGGCTGCAGGCCCACCAGGAGGGCCCGACCCCGGCCCCCCTCCCCCCTCCCCCCTCCCCCCGGGCGCCGGCGGTCTGTGGGCTTGCACGACAGCTTCCCCGCCTCTTCCACGCGGGGCGAGCTGGCTCCAGAAGACCGTGGGGGAGGCTCAGCGTCGGTGAGCTGAGCCTGGGGCCTGTCCGGGAAAGCTGGCCCTGCGTGTGCCCCCCGAGCCTCCCGAGCCGGGCCTCTCCTGCGGATCGTTTCCCTCGTTCTGGCCCCACGCTCAGGCCCCCAGCTCCCATCAGGCTGGCGCTCACACACCTGCTTCCCACTTTGCCCCTGGAGTTCAGCCCTACGAGGTCTTTCCACTCTTGCCCTCCACCTTTGGCTCATTCTTTGGTTCTTTCCTTTATCTGTAAATCCTGAAACCAGCATTTTTTTAAAAAGATTTTATTTATTTATTCATGAGACACACAAAGAAGCAGAGACATGGGCAGAGGGAGAAGCAGGCTCCCCGCGAGGAGCTTGATGAGGGACTCCATCCCAAGACCCCGGGATCACGGGGAGGGCCCCACCCTGGCCCTCTCCGTAGGCCTGCAGCCCCCTTCCCGGCCTGAGGCAAAGGCAGAAGCTCAACCACTGAGCCACCCAGGCGCCCCACGAAACCAGTATTTTAAGGGGGTGCTATGTCCATTCTTGTCCTAGTCACTGTGAATGCAGGACCATTCTCAGTCCTCATCCTCTAGTGACTCTAGACGGGAGCACAGAGGAAGAGTCCATGCTGTGGAAGCAGTCAGAGGGAGGGATGCGAGGAGTTGGTGCCTGGCCTGGAGAACAGAGGCAGGGGAGCATGAAGGGTGTTCTAGGCAGAGCAAAGAACTGGTAGGGAGAGGGGAGATGGAGAGCCAGGCTTTGTAGGTGCTAGTGGGATATGGCCCAAATCGTTGTGCAGTCCCCTGGAGTGACCAGAAATGAGGGTTTTGAGCAGGTTATACAGATTTGCATTTTAGGATTCTAGGCTGAATTATGCAGAAGAGATTGGGGTGTGCTAGTTTGAGGAGGAAACAAGGGGTGGTGTGGAAGTTGGGGGAGGGGACATGATGGTGGTATAGACTGTGGGAGGGGCAGAGGATTTGAGGGCTCACAGACCTGATTAACTGGGGGAAGAAGGTAAGTATAATACTCAGATTACTATTTCTTGTAACTGGATAGATGGTAGTGCCTTACAGTGTGTTTGGAAATAAAGATGTTACAAACAAATTTGTGAAAATAATGTGGAGCCCAGCTTTTGAGAGCCCGAGATTGTAAACTCTGGGGGGTATTTAAGCCTAGGAGCTAGGAGATTTTAGGATTTGGATTCCAGGACAGATTCTTTATATATATATATATATATATATATATATATATATATATATATATATATTTTAAAGCCACAGAAGGAAGTGAAGGTAACCCAGGGATATAAAATGAGTACAGACAGTGCACAGATAGGAACTTTAAAGACACAGACATTAGGGATGACCAGAATGCAGGGGAAGAGTGTTTCAAGGTAACTGAGAAAAAGTAAACTGAAGGCATCATGCGGTTTCAAGGAGGCAGCAATCCATAATGTCAACCCAAACAAGGGAAAGAAATCACGACCATTGGTTTGACAAAGAGTCGGTCAACCTCTCCCTGTTCTGCTCCCCACTTCCTGTTCTGTGGGACAAGTCTGGCGAAGTCAGAAGAGGGGGAGCTGGGTTATTTTTCCCCAACATTCTATTATGAACAATGTTAAACATACAGAAAAATTGAGTTCATAGTACAAGGAATACATACATACCCTCCACCTAGATCCAACCATTGTTGACATTGTGCCATGTTTGCTTTATTTATTTTTTATTTTTAAAAAATATTTTATTTATTTATTTATGAGAGACACACACACAGGCAGAGACATAGGCAGAGGGAGAAGTAGGCTCCCTGCAAAGAGCCCGATGTGGGACTCAGTCCCCGACCCCACCATCACGCTCTGAGCCAAAGGCAGATGCTCAACCACTGAGCCACCCAGGCATCCCTGCTTTATTTTTTTTATAAAGATTTTATTTATGTATTCATGAGAGACAGAGAGAGGCAGGCTCCCTGTGGGGATCCCGATGCAGGACTCCATCCCAGGACCCCAGATCATGCCCCGAGCCCAAGGCAGATGTCCAACCACTGAGCAACCCAGGTGCTCCTCAGCCCTAAATTCTTATCAGCGTCTCAAACCAGGTTAAAGTGAATAGAGGAGAAAATAAGAGATAAATAAATAAAACACAGTGAATGGGAAATTTGGTTTCCAGAAGTTTGTAAAGGGAGAGAGAGAGAGAGAGAGAGAGAGAGAAAAGAGTAGCTGGAGATAATTAGTTCAAGAAGGTTTATTTTATTTTTGTTGTTATTTTTGCTTATTATCTGGATGGGGGAGGGAGCCTGGAGCAAGTCTAACTGCTGATGGGAAGGAGCCAGTTGTGTGGGAGAGGCTGAAGGGAGCTGAAGCAGGCCTGGACCCCTGGGTGGTGGGAGGGGAAGCCTACAGAGCTGCCTTTGAGGAGGATCACTGCCCACGGGGAGGAGGACAGGAGAGGAGACGCAGATGTTTGGGAGCTGCAGGGGATTTTATCTGAGGCCTTTCATTTTCATGAGAAGCAGGTGGTGAAGCTCTCATAGCCAGAGAGCAAGGCTGTGGGTGGGGACTTGAGGCGTATTGAGCAGGTCTGAAATCCAGCGAATAAAGCCAACTACTCCTGGCAGGGTAGGGGCAGCAAGGATGGGAGGGCCCTGGGTATGAGAGAGAGAGCAGCTAGGACAGGCTGGGGGGCCTGGGCCAGGTGGGGAGGAAGTAGAGACCAGAGAATACTGAGAAGAAGGAAGGAATCAAGGACCTGGCTCTGGGTTCGGGTCAGAGTGGGAAGGGGGTGTACAGGGTTTCTGAGGAAGAGCAGTTCTGGGGAGGCAGGGGTCCAGATGTGGCAGGAGAGTGGGAGTGAGGAGGGCATCCCTCACCTCTGTCTGGATCAGCTCCCCTGGCCCACAGGCCAGAGATAGGGGTGGTTTTCTCCCCAGTCCCTGCCATCCTCCCCATCTGGAGTCCTATCTCTGAGCCACGAAAAGGAAACCAGAGCCTCCTTCCCTGCCAGTGTCTGGTTTCTGAGTTTCGGGGGCAGGCCGTCTAGGACAGGGACAGGCGTCCCTGGCTCCCTGGTTGGCTCAGTCTCATCTCAGAGCAGGACCCGGTGCCCCATGCAGCGATTCCTGCAGCTCCCGGGGGCTGTGGTGAGGCCAGGGGGCAGAGGGGCTGGCGCAGCTGACCAGGAGGCTGCCAGCCCTGTGCTGGCCCCTGAAGGCGGGCCCCCACCCTGGTACCAGGCCCTGCAGCCTGAGGAGCTCCGGTGGCTGCAGGCCCCTGAGGAAGACACAACCCCGGAGGCGTCCCTGGAAGGGCCTGGCCCGGAGCCTGGCCAGAGCCAGAGCCAGCTGCTAAGGTACAGAGGAGCTCCCAGGGCCCCTCACCCCCATGCCAGGAAGGGTGGACAGCTGCTGCTCTAGCTCAGACTCCACCTCCCCAGGAGGAGGTCTAGGCGGGTGGGGGCATCAGGGGTGCAGTGTGGGGGCTGAGTGTATGAGGCGATGAACATAACTCGGGCAGCTCTGGCGGGGGGGATAGTGTTATGGTTCCACCTGGACCTTCCCCCTCTCAGGTCCCGGCTGCAGTGGGCTCTGGGTGAGGTTTGGAGACAGGCTCAGACGCAGAGTTTGGGCAGCCCACCCCCACTTCTAGTGGATTGGGATTCTGGTGGTGAGGAGAGGGAGGAAGGTGTATATCAGGGAGGTGAGCAGTCTGGCCTCAGTGTCTGGGTGGCTCTGGCCACCCCCTGGAGAGTTCCTCTGCCAGGTCAGGCCAGGGGTCAGGGCAGAGAGAGTGCAGTGTAAGGGGATCTGACCACAGAGGCTAATGTTTCATGGCTTCGGAGCCTTGCTGTGCATCCCTCGCTCCCTCTCCCTCTCGGGCACACAAGATGATGGCCCAGGGGTGGTCACATCCCAGGAGGGGGCTGATGTCTGCTCATGGGCATTTGACAGTCCTGCCTGGGCTCCCTGTGCCGTGTACCCACAGGCCCTCCCCTCCCTCAAGTCCCCTTGGCCGGCTGGAGCCTCCAGGGCCTGGAGTATTTGCACCAGGCCGGGAGGGTGGGAGTAGTATGGGTGCTGCAGCACGGCCCCAGGGGTGGTGCATTTGACAGGGGCCTGTGGTATTTCTAGGAGTGGTGAGGACACTCCGGGTGAGGAAGTCTGCTTTAGAGAACACCCAGGCAAACTCCAGCTGCTCCCAGTCAGGTCACCCAGGCCCACCCCTCAGGAGGAGGCCGGAGGGTCCATGAGGCTGCCTGTGTTTGATCCTAGAAGCCTAAATTCATCTTCCAGCATCTCAAATAGGAGTTGACTGGACACTGGGGAATGAGGCCAAAGTGACAGTTTTGTCGGGAGGGTGTATGTGTATGTGGTGTGTGTTGTGGAGGGGCTTGGGTGTGGGGTGCATTGGGTGGGATGTGCACATCCAGATGGGGGTGTGGGGGAGAATGGAGAAGTCTTGTGGGAATGTGTGTGTTTGTGGGGGTCTAGGGATGTGGGTGTGAGATATGTGTTAATGCATATGTGGGTATATGTGTGTAGAGTTTCTGTGGGAAGTGTCTGAACGTGTGGTGTATGTGTCTGTGATCGTGTGTTTCTCCATGGGTCGTGGGTGTGTATGGGTTTATGTATGAATTGTGTGTGTCTGGGGGTACAGGTGTGTCTGGGGATGTGTGGATATATCTATGGGGTGGGGTTGTGGGGGTATGGGTATGTCTAGGGGTGTAGGTGTGAGGTGTGTCTGGGTGTGAGAATGTCTGGGGTGCAGGTGGTCTGTGGGGTGTGGGTATATCTGGGGGTGTATGTCTGGGGTACAGATGTGTCTGTGGGGGGGATGTCTGGGGTACAGATGTGTCTGTGAGGGGTACAGGCATGTCTGTGGGGTGCAGGTGTGCCTGTGGTACGTGTGGATGGTGCTGGAGCGTGGAGGGGGTATTGGGATGTGTGGGTGTTTGTAGGATGTGTGCTGTGAACTGTCCATATGGTGGAATGTGGCAGTTCAGCGGCCTGCACTCGTACTCGGGGACCAGGGTGGCCCAGCATTTATCCTCCCGCAGCCCTAATGGTACCCATGCTCAGCTGCACCGTCTGGGCCTCCTGTACCCCGGGGGCCTGAGCTCAGCCTGCAGGAGTGGACCACCTGGCCTGTGTTTGGGAGAGTGAGAAGATCCTCTGATCTGGGGGCGTTTAGATGAGCATGGCTGGGGCTGGACATTCTTCTGCCTTCTGTGACAGCAGGTCTTCTGTGTCCTGGAAGACATTAGCTTTCTACCCTGCTTTCCACCAAAAAATCTGTTCAGGAAAGACCCTTTCTAAAACCCTTGGATCATCCATAGCTTAGCTCTGCTTCTGTCCCTTCTGAGTGTGCGTTAGGCACTTGGGCATCTGTGCAGAAGGCAGCCCATGCATCACGTTGGCTTCTTCCCTTCCTCTCGGCCTTTGTCGCTGACTTGCCTCTCAGCACCAGCAGCACGGCCACCCTGGCCTGTCTGTGACTGTTGTCCTGCTCATCCCTGCTGTCACTATTCCCTTCAATTTCTGACATTCTGCTGTCTCTAAATATGTCATTGCTTTTTTTTTTTTTTATGGGTTGTCATTGCTTTTTAATTTCTACTGTTGGTGATAACCTTTCTAGGCTGGGTTCTCCTGCCTGGCTCAAAAGCTGTGGCTTATTATCTGGAAGATGAGAGAACTGTGCAGGACTCTGCACACACTGATCACCACATCTTGGAACCGTTTTGGCAACACATGAGCACATCAGTTGTCCCACAGCTGTCTTGGCTGTGTATAGAAGCATTTTTTCCATGAGTCTATTCACCGGTATCTGTTCACTTCTTTGACCACCTACCCCTAGACCTCTGAGTATGGTCAGGCAGGTTGTTCACTGCACAAGGGCACGTGGCTGAGGACTACCAGACTATGCTCCACTCATTGAAAGGAGAGCGATAGCTCAGGGCTATGTCTCCTTGGAGGGACTAACAGGTGTGGATATGCTTGCAGCAGCCCTTACAATGAAAGCTGGATATAGACCTTAAATCTATATTGGTGCTTTATTTTGTTTTTGTTTAAGATTTTATGTATTTATTCATGAGAGACAGAGAGAGGCAGCGACATAGGCAGAGGGAGAAGCAGGCCCCATTCAGGAAGCCCTATTCAGGACTCAATCCCAGGACCCCAGAATCACAACCTGAGCAGATGCTGAACCGTTGAGCAACCAGGCGTCTTAATGCTTTATTTTGAATATTAAATTTTTGTTTGCCATATCCCAAATACTTTCCTTTCTGTTGCTTTATAGGCTGTATTGTGTCCCCTTTAAATTCCTATTGCTGAAGTCCTAACCCCTGGTACCTCAGAATATGACTATATTTGGGGCAGGGGTCTTTAAAGAGGTAATTATGTTAAAATGAGGTCATGAGGGATCCCTGGGTGGCGCAGCGGTTTGGCGCCTGCCTTTGGCCCAGGGCGCCATCCTGGAGACCTGGGATCGAATCCCACGTCGGGCTCCCGGTGCATGGAGCCTGCTTCTCCCTCTGCCTATGTCTTTGCCTCTCTCTCTCTCTCTCTCTGTGTGACTATCATAAATTTAAAAAAAAAAATTTAAAATGAGGTCATGAGAGCCCTAATCCATTCTGATTGGTGACCTTATAAGAAGAGGAAATTTGGAGGCACCTGGGTGCCTCAGTGGTCGAGTATCTGCCTTCGGCTCAGGTCGTGATCCCAAGATCCTGGGATCGAGTTCCACATTGGGCTCCCTGCACGGAGCCTGATTCTCCTTCTGCCTGTGTCTCTGCCTCTCTGTGTGTCTCTCATGAAAAAAATCTTAAACTAAAAAAGAGGAAATTTGGACATAGGGAGACACAGTGGGAAGACCATGCGCAGACACAGGAAGACCACCATCTATAAGCCAAGGAGAGAGGCCTCAGAAGAGGCCACTCCCCATGCCCACTACCACCATCTCAGACTTCTAGCCTCTAAAATTTTGAGAAAATAAATTTAGGTTGTTTAAGCCCACACAGTCTGTGGTACTTTGTTATAGCAGACCTAGCCAACAAATACAGTTGCCATATTTGTTTTTTTTATCTTAAATTTAGTTTCATATACAAAAGTTTTAAAAAATTAAACCTTAGCCATCTGGTTACTGATAATTTTATGACCTTGAAAATAAGAATTTCCCTTTCCTCTTCCATAATTAAAAATCACTTCATGATTAATAAAAAATGTGGGGTTTATTTTGGTCAGAGACATGTACAAGTTAAATTTTTTGCTGCATAGCAGTTGTCCCAACAGCATTTATATATGGGAAGGAAAGGTTCTTCCTTCCATTGGTGAGTTGTTCCTAATGTATCACTTTAGATTCATTTATGGGAAAAAAAAAAAAAAGAAATTGCCCCCTATGACCTTTGACTTTCTATTGTTAGCCTGGTACCATGCAGTTTTGTCATTGCTGTGTTGATATGTGTTTGGAATTCCAGGAGGATGAATTGTCTGTCATTTATTCATTGTTCTCTTCTTTCCCCAGACTATTCTTTGGAGTTCTTAACCTATTCATTATTTTTAGATTTCTCCAGGCAAATTTTGCTGCCACTTCAGGATGTTTGACAAAATGCCTTCATTGAACTTGCAAGGGGCATTGCATGAAATTTATGTATTGGCCTGAGGACTACCTCTATTCCCTTCAGCCACGTGCAAGGGGTTATTTATCCAAATCTTCATTTATTTCCCCCATGAGGTTTTTATAACTGCCTGAAATCACTGTTGAATGTTAAGGGACAGCTCTGGCTTTTGCTGTGAAGCCATCTCAGTAGATTTCTGGAGCTCTGGGACCCATCCAGTCCCTGGGGTTAGATCAGTCTGTGGAGTCGGGGCTCAGGACACACCTGGGGTGGGCTAAGGGTATCCTGTTTCTGTTTGGATACCAGCTCCAGATCCTTCCCGTCTATCCAACTGGCCTTTTTCTGGGCAGGGTCCATACCTTTCCTACCCCAAACCTTTCTTCTTCTGGTTCTAGGTCCCCGGCTGTATAGGTTTCCTGGGGTGCTAGAAAGAAGTGCCACAGAGCAGGTGGTTTAGAACAACACATGTATTATCTCACAGATCCCGAGGCTAGAAGTCCAAAATCAAGGTGTCAGCAGGGCCATGCTCCCTCTGAAACTTGTAGGGAATCTGTGCTCATCACTTTGTAGCTTCCGGTGCTGGCGATCTTTGGTGCTCCTTGGCTTATAGATGGATCACACCAATCCTCTGGCTTCACATGGCATTATTTCCATGTCTCTCTCTTCACACGGCTGTCTTCTTATGAGGACACCAGGAATACTGTGTCAACCATTCATCCTAACTAATGACAACTGTAGCAAGTCTGTTTCCAAAAAGGGTCCCTGGGGTCCTGGGGGTTAGGACTTCAGAACTTTTTTCAGGGGCACCCAGCTCAACCTGCACCACACCCTGGCCCACGTTTCTCTGACCCCAAGTCCCCTACCCATGTTGCTTCTTTCTATCCTCTTGATGGATACCCCCACCCCCACTCTTGTGGCCTCCCCTGACCTCCTGTGCACCCCCAGGCATGATGACCTGAAGGAGATGCTGGATACCAACAAGGATTCCCTCAAGCTGGAGGCCATGAAGAGGATTGTGGCTGTGAGTGGGAAAGGGGTCCTCAGGGCAGGGTGGGTGGCGGGTAGGAATCAAAAAGCTGCTCTCCTTGTGTCCTTGTGGACTTTCCCCTAATGAGTGTGGGCCCCTTCCCTTCTCCTTCCCACCACCCAGATGATCGCCCGGGGAAAGAATGCCTCAGACCTGTTTCCCGCTGTGGTGAAAAACGTGGCCTGCAAAAACATAGAGGTGAGCACCACCCAGTGATGCTCACCTCCATCGGGAATCAACTCCGGCCGGTTGGGGTGAGGAAGGGAAGGATCCAGCCCCTGGGGGCCTGACTTGCTCTGAATGTTCTTGGTTCAGGATATGTCCCTGAATCAGATGTGGGTCCGAGTGGAGGCCCCAGGGCACAGTAGGGATGCTGCCCCCCACTGGGGGAATTTGCCTGTGTGATCACAGCCAGCCAGGTGATGGCATATCACAGGGTGGGGGGCACCAGTCCTGCTGAGAAACCTGCTCTCCCCAGGTGAAGAAGCTCGTCTATGTGTACCTGGTACGTTATGCCGAAGAGCAACAAGACCTGGCCCTGCTGTCTATCTCCACCTTCCAACGTGGCCTAAAGGTCAGAGGTTTCGGTTTGCCTCCCTGGCACCTGGGGTTGTGGATGCCATGTAGAAGGAGGCCGGGGAGAGGCTGGTGCCTGAGGGAAGCAGCTCTGGCCTTTCCTACCTGCCGAGAATGGGGAGGGTCAGCGTCAGAGAGAAGGGCCAAAGGGACCCTCGGACAGTGGAGGCTGGCTCAGTAGGGGGTTGAGACGCAGAGTGGGTGCCCTGAGAGCGTGCAGCCCCTCCTCTGAGGAGCCCAGGATGATGGTCGCCTCAAATGTGAACCAGTTAAAGCCCTGGAAGTAGAGAGCCCTGGGCTCCCTCCCAGTCGCACTGGTGTGAAGGATCCGGGTCCATAACCAGGCAAAAGCCAGCTTCCTTAGGACAGGACTGTGAGGGCCACGGCTGACCTGGGCTCCTCAGCTCTGTGTGTCAGAACCTGGGTGCCAGCAGGTGGGCCTGGGCTGGGTTTTTGTGGAGAACAATGAGTTTGGAACCTTTTCACCTGTGACTTGTTATGGAGGACAGAAGGGCTTACTGAACAGAAATGAGCTCTACCGACAGGAAAGCAACAGAGTTTACCCTGTAGGAGAGCTGCCTCAGACTCCGGGGTGGGTTCAGAGGTCAGCGCAGATGCCATAAACACACATGACTGTCCACTTCCAGTGAGTTCAACACAATTATCCCTCTAGAGCTGAAGCAAGCTCTAGGTGATCATTCTTCTTCCTTCTTTTTAAAAAATTTATTTATTTTTTAGAGAGGGCGAGACAATCTCAAGCAGACTGTGCACCAAGCATGGAGCCGAGGGCAGGGCTCGATTCCAGGACCCTGAAGTTATCACCTGAGCAGGAACCAAGAGCCCCGAGGCTTAACCCACCGTGCCACCTAGGCGCCCATGGTGACCGTTCTGTTTAGCACCAGAAGTAGTTGACTTGTCTTAGATGTCCTGGTGTATGCAAAATACCTGCTTTTAAAGGCTGGATCATGTCTGTTGTCCTGACAGGCTCTTTGAGGCAGGTAGAAATTGAAATCACCGAGGGGCACCTGGGTGGCTCAGTTGGTTAAGCATCTGACTCTTAATTTCGGCTCAGGTCATGATGTCTTGAGAGATGGAGCCCCATGTCAGGCCCTGCACTCAGGCAGGAGCCTGCTTGGGATTCCCTCTCTTCCTCTCCCTGTGTCCCTCCCCACCTTTTCCCCTTCTTTAGAAAAATCAATCAATCAATCAATCAATCAATCAATCATCACCTAAAGGAAAGAGCAGTGGGAAGATTCAAATCCTTTAGAATGGAGTGGGTGCTAAATCCCCTCATACTATTTAAACTGAATATTCTCCACTTGTGTTTTGCATATGACATGCATGCATGTGTGATGGTCTCCACAGCATGCTTTCCTGGTTGGTATATGTCAAGGAGACAGAAGCCAGTATCTCTGAACGCCATTCTGTTCTCTCTCCACAGCAGCATTTTCAGCTCAGATGACAACCATTAACTCCCCTAGTCTTTCTGCACATGTAGCTCACATTCCTGTGAGAGCATCTCTGAAAGGTCTAGCTTAGCTTTTCGTGATCAGCTGGTTCAGTAGGTTGCTGAGCAGCCTGAGGACTGACTGCCCAGATCTGGGCCGAGCCCTAGGTCACTGTGCTGTGGCCAGCAGGAGAGCCTGACAGGGTCTGCCTCTCAGGCGGGGCAGCGAGCAAGGGCACTTGCATTTACATTTTGTCAGCTAGCAGTACCTGGGTATCCCCGGCCACACATTGTGCAAGGTTAATTCTTAAAGACAAAACCAGAGGATCGATCTATCTAGATTGGCAAGTGATCTTTTTATTTGAATCAGGGTTAAATCCTCTTAGAAGAACTATTCTAGGATTTTTGCATAGGCAAGTTCTACATTTACCCAAAGCCTCCTTAGTCCACTCAGTGCAAGGATTCTCGAGAAGAGTGGTCAGCAAACTTTCTGTATACTGTCAGGCAGTAATTTAGACTGTGTAGGCCAGATAGCTTCAACCCTGCAACCACTCAACTTTGCCCTTGAAGTGTGTAAGAACCTGTCAATGAGTGGGCATGGTTGGGTTCCAATACATTTTTTTAAAAGATTTTATTTATTTATTCATGAGAGACAGAGAGAGAGAGACAGAGAGGCAGAGACACAGGCAGAGGGAAAAGCAGGCCCCATACAGGGAGTCTGATGTGGGATTCGATCCTGGGACTCTAGGATCATGCCCTGAGCTGAAGGCAGGCGCTTAACTGCTGAGCCAGCCAGGTGTCCCTAAATTTTTATTTATAAAAAAGGCAGAAGACAGATTTGGCCTGAGGACCATAATGTTCCAACCTTTGCTCTAGAACATATCCAACAGGCCATCTCCAGTGACAGAGATGTCACTCCTTCATAAGGCAATTTGCTCCAACTTAGGACAACTACAATTTCTTTTAAAACCATTATATTGTGGGATGCCTAGGTGTCTCAGTGGTTGAGTGTCTGCCTTTGGCTCAGGTCGTGATCCCGGGGTCCTGGGATCGAGTCCCACATCGGGCTCCCTGCAGGGAGCCTGCTTCTCCCTCTATCTATGTCTCTGCCTCTCTCTGTGTCTCTCATGAATAAATAAAAATCTTAAAAAAAATTAAAAATGAAACCATTATATTGTCTCAAAACCTCCATAGCTACATTTTTAAAAATTTATTTCAAACTCACAAAAGGCACAAAGAATAGTATGATGAATATCTATATGCCACACATAAGAAATGAAAAATTTATCAATAGCCAAAGCCCCTTATGTATCTTCTCCTGTTTATCGTTCATGTGCATGCATTTACTGTCTTACTACCTATTTATGCATTCCTAAATAACATATAATATTGTTTTGTAAATGGTATCATATGATACATGTGTTCCTCTAAAACTCATTTTCTTTCTGCTGTTGGGTTTGTTTTTTTTTAAGGATTTTATTTATTTTTGAGAGACACAGAGAAAGAGAAAGAGGCAGAGACACAGGCAGAGGGAGAAGCAGGCTCCATGCAGGGAGCCCGATGAAGGACTCGATCCTGGGACCCCAGGATCACTCCTTGAGCCCAAGGCAGATGCTAAACTGCTGAGCCACCCAGGGATCCCCATCTTTCTGCTGTTGTTAATGACTCTGGGCTCTCCTGTACATTAGAACCATTCATTTCCATCAAGGACTCTCCCTTCTTATCGATCCAGGCTGAGACTAGGTTTGGTTTCTCAGCAGCCCACTACTGTGTTTGGCTCAATTCAGACAAACCTCCAGTGGGCAGTCAGATAATCTAGGTCTCCCCACATACTGTCTTTATGCAGTTGGTTCCCTGAATCCCATATGACATCCCATTACATTTCATTTTATTGGTTTAGCACAGCATCCAATTCAGGGCAATTCTAAATCTTCATTTTTGTCCTCTTGAGTCTTCCTCCAAGATATTCATAAGCTGTACAGACCAGGGCAACAGACTGTGAGCCCCAAGGTTATCTGTTAATAAACGTTCCCCAAGTACAATGTTTTACCAAGTTGTGGATTCACCTAATTATACAGTCAGCTGGCATTTTCTTATCTTGTTAGAAGGGATCTTTTTCAATAGCAGAGAAATTTCTTAACACCTTTCACGGGCAAAGGGCTGTAGGGATACAGAAACAAAATAGACAGGAATTCTGCTCTTAAAATGCTTACATATTCAGTGAAACAAAAAGCCTGCATCAAAAATGGCAAGCCAGGGGACGCCTGGGTGTCTCAGTGGTTGAGCATCTATCTGCTTTTGGCTCAGGGCATGATCCCCGGGTCCTGGGATTGAGTCCTGCGTTGGGCTTCCCCCATAGAGCCTGCTTCTCCCTCTGCCTCTCTCTCTGTGTCTCTCATGAATAAATAAATTAAAAATCTTAAAAAAAAAAAAAAGGCAAGCCAGGAAATGCTAACCCTAACCCTAACCCAGGGATGCCTTGCTGAAATCAAAATACACAGTGTTAATATCGACCAGCCTAGTTACTCTATCAGAAAGGAAAATGTGTTTTTTTAGTAACTTCTTGTGAATCCATATTCATTTCCAAATAAAAAGGAAAAAATAGGCTAGAGCAGTGAGATATGACATGATTTGACTGAGAAAATACAGACTCCTGCTTTTTAAATAAGTGCTTCTAAACCATGTGTTTAAAAATCAGTTCTAGAATTTTGACAGGGATTACCATTATCGTCCCCTGTCATTTCGTGGATCTTCTTTTTCTGTTTTAGAACCTCAGGGAGTCATCTGCCATTTAGTGTTCCAAAACCTCTCCCATTGTCCACCATTCTCTAAAATTCACAGCAATTTACAGTAGTGCTGCTGCCATGATTGCAGTATACTAAAGGCTCTTCCCAGGTGTGTATTGGATGCAGCAGGAGCAAAGAGGAGGGACCTGTGCACCTATGTATTTTAAACACTGGAGGAAAAGAAGAAGAGCAACTTTTGGGAAGTTGCTGGGAAAAGGAGCGTTAAAGATGAACCCTGGGAAGAAGGCCAGTTTACATTTGCTTGCAGTCAGCTCTGGCATAAATACAAAGGCCCCCCTTCCCCCAAAAATCCCACGCAAGGACCAGGAGGTGTTTCAGGAACTTCAGGTATTCTAGAAGATTTTTACTCTTCCTGAAAGTGAAGCAACCCATTGCCACAACTGTTCAGGTATCAGATTTCTGCAGCGGGGGCCAAGAGCCAGTTCCCTCAAGTAGTACCCCCCAGGTACTAGCACTGGCACATCATTCAGGGAGTTGGGGAGGTAGCCAGGAACAGTGGGTTCCAGAGGTGTAGCCTTTCCTATCAGCGCACTGTGTTCTCTCAGGGCTCTGCCTCCACCTCTGCTCTTAGGACCCCAACCAGCTGATCCGGGCTAGTGCCCTCCGTGTCCTGTCTAGCATCCGGGTGCCCATTATAGTGCCCATCATGATGCTGGCCATCAAGGAAGCTGCCTCGGACATGTCACCCTATGTACGGAAAACAGCAGCTCATGCCATCCCTAAACTCTACAGGTACGCCCCAATCCAGCCCTTCACTCCTCTGGGAGCAGTTCTCAAGTCCCCAGCACCCCTGACCCCTCTCAGGTCTTGCAGATTGCCCTTTTTCTTTTATACTTGGGATGCTTTGAGATGGTTTGGGGAACTGACAGAGATGGAGGACGGTGGTGGTGGCAGCTCACACCTCTTCACCAATGGGGTTGGGGTGCGGGAGGTGGGCACAGCTTGGGCAGATATTGGGAAGGTGGGAGATGGGGCGAGGGGCAAATTCCTTTTCACTGTTTCTCCTTCAGTCTGGATTCTGACCAGAAGGACCAGCTGATCGAGGTCATTGAGAAGCTTCTGGCCGACAAGACCACGGTGTGTACACCTCACACACGGCCGGGCGGTGGAAAGGAGCGGGACAGAGGCTCTTGGCCCCTCCTGCGCGCCCTCTCTAGCCACTGCCCCTTCCCCAGTTGGTGGCGGGCAGCGTGGTGATGGCCTTCGAGGAGGTGTGCCCGGAGCGCATCGACCTGATTCACAAGAACTACCGGAAACTCTGTAACCTGCTCATCGACGTGGAGGAGTGGGGCCAGGTGGTCATCATCAGCATGCTCACCCGCTATGCGCGCACGCAGTTCCTGAGCCCCACCCAGAACGTGAGTGCCAGGGCCCCGGCCCTCGCCCGGGCGGTGCAGGGGGGAGGGCGGCCGGGAGGAGGCGCCCACTGCCCGACCCCCGCCCCGCCCCCGCCCCCAGGAATCTCTGCTGGAGGAGAACCCCGAGAAAGCCTTCTACGGCTCGGAAGAGGATGAGGCCAAGGGCCCGGGCTCAGAGGAGGCGACCACCGCGGCGCTGCCCGCCCGCAAGCCCTACGTCATGGATCCCGACCACCGGCTGCTGCTGCGCAACACAAAGCCTCTGCTGCAGAGCCGCAGCGCGGCCGTGGTGATGGCGGTGGCGCAGCTCTACTTCCACCTGGCGCCCAAGGCGGAGGTGGGCGTCATCGCCAAGGCCCTGGTGCGCCTCCTGCGCAGCCACAGGTGCGCAACCCCGCTGGGCCGGCTCCACGGCCCACTGGGGGCACTGCACGCCCTCCCGGCCGGGCCCCGCCCCACCTACACCGTCGGGATGGATGGGCTGGTGCGCGGAGCCTGCCCCGCCCGCTCTGCGGCTGCTCGGGCTGCTGGGGTGGATGGGCTGGTCTGCCCCGCCCGCTCTGGGGGCTGCTCCGCCCCCGGCACGGCCCACACTGGTGGCCTGCCCGCTGAGGCCCGCCCCGCCCCGCCCACAGAAGGCTGGGCGGCAGGGCTGGCCTGCCTTTGCCCGCCCAGCGCACTCCGCAGGCCCTCCCAGCAGCCAGCTGCTCTGGGAGCACATAGCACCCCCAACACCCCAGACCTTGTACTGACCCCATTCTTGCCCCCCCACACACACTGGTCCCCTCCTCTCCCTCCTGTTTGGCCCACCTCCCTTCCCTCCACTCGCTGCCCCTTGGCCTGGTGGAGGGGCCCAGGTACCTCTGACCTGTCCTCTCTCCGTAGTGAGGTGCAGTATGTGGTACTCCAGAACGTGGCCACCATGTCCATCAAGCGCCGGGTGAGCAAGTGACTGAAGCCTGCCCAGGAAGCCCGAGGCGTAGCTCCTGTGGGTGTGCGGGGCACTGGGGAAGGGCTGTGCAGAGCATGGCAAAGGGGAGACCCCAAACCCAGGAGGATAAGCAGGGCTTGGATCCTGGGGTCCGCTGAGAGAGGAAAACCCAGTGAAGAAAGACCTGGTCAGATCTGAGAGGGAGGATTCTGGGCCTTGGGCAGGAGAGTCGGGTAGCTCTGGGAGAGAGGCAGGTCTACTGCTGTGTTGAAGCTCCCTGGCTGCCTCTCTCTGCCAGGGTATGTTTGAACCCTACCTGAAGAGCTTCTACATCAGATCCACCGACCCCACCCAGATCAAGATCCTGAAGGTGAGTGATGGACAGAAGTGCATGGGGCCTTCCCACCTCACTCCCACTGCACTGACCTACTTAGATATCCACAGTGGCCACCTTGGGCCTGCCTGTTTCTGCAGCTGGGCCCGTGGCTGCTCCAGCCAGAAACGTTTGCTCAGGAAGCCAGGCTGACGAGAGTGGGAAGGGACTCACCCTTTGCCTCTCACCTATTAGACATCTGTTACTTTGCACACGTAAAGTAATCTGATTTTTGTACTAAACTCAGGAAGCATACATGATCTTCATCTTATAAAAATGTAGACCCAAGGAGGTGAGGTCTGTGGCCTGCTGACTCCAGAATGCCTACTTAGCTCCCACTTTGGGCAGGCTCCTGTGTTCCACCCACAGTGTTCCTTTCCCTACGCATCTACCCCCTCAGGCTTCCATGTACACATACACCCACAGAAGATGTGTCAGGAGCCTGTACCCACATTCCATTCCATCTCTGCTTCCTCTTTACTGAGTAATTTCATTCAGCAGCAGGTAGTCCTGACTCTGAACATCTACTATGTATCAGTCACAGCTAGATCTAGGGATAGGAGAGATGGCAAACTCGTCAGACACCTCACCCTTGGGTGCTTGCCGTCTAGTTGGGATGAGGAGGAGACACTGAGCAGCTAATCCCAAAACACATGGAAAAATTCACTTGAGAGATGTGGTAAGAAAGAGAATTGCAGAGGACCATCAGAGCATAGACTTGGAGAGCCTGATCTAGTCTGGTGTCAGGGAAGCTTTCCTCCAGGCAGTGAGGCTTGAGAAATGCCTGAGAAATGAACACGAATTATCTAGGTGAATGCAAGAACAGGAACGACAGAACAGCTTCACACAGAAGAAGCAGTATAAGCAAAGGTCCTGAGACAGGAAGCAGTCTGACAAAAGGCCAGTATGGGGTGTGGAGGCCAAAGGGGAATGCAGTGTGAGAACAGAGGTAGACAGCGGTCAGCTCATACTGGGATTTATAGACAATGATAAGGATGTTGCTCTTTATCCTGAAAGCAATAGGAGGCTTTGTTTTCAATGGAGGTGGAGAGGTGACATGATTGTGCTATGAGTGTACTCTGGCAGGAAATCCATTTACGAGGCAAACTGGTCCTCCTGCATTTTGGATGAGTTTCACAATCTGTCATCTCTTTCATTGGTTTAAGGATGTTGCAGGGCTGTCTGTAGGATTGTGTTCTGGTCTGTGGAGGGTGTTTGGAATGAGGGGTTGTGAAAGCACAGAGAGCCCACTGGCCATGCTGCCCATTTTCTGCCCCCCTGCAGCTGGAAGTGCTGACCAACCTGGCCAATGAGACCAACATCCCTACTGTCCTACGGGAATTCCAGGTACGGGCCAGGGCCCAGCTCCCAGCAGAGGGGCCCTGGAGAGTTGCCCTGTAGCCCCTGTGCTCAGAAAGAATCATCTCAATGGGCCAAGTTTCTCTTAAGGGCTGAAAAAGTGGAGAAACTTTTCTCTTCGGCTCCTTGCAGTGCCTTCTGCTGGCTTTAGACTGGGGAGTCACTGCATGATGGCTGAGGCTGTCACTCCCTCTCCTGGAGGTTAGTCTCCAGCATGATGAGTCGTTGAATGAGGGTGACAAGCTGCCCCAGTGGTCACCCTCAAGCCTGCAGAATCACTGAGGTCACTGCCTGCATGGTCACCCCCCAGAGGGTTCACTCTGTTGTGCTGCCCCACAGACCTATATCCGCAGCATGGACAAGGACTTTGTGGCAGCCACGATCCAGGCCATTGGACGCTGTGCAACCAACATAGGCCGAGTCCGGGACACCTGCCTCAATGGCCTGGTGCAGCTGCTATCCAACCGTGATGGTCAGTGTGTGTCTGAGTGGCCAGCTTTGATGACCAGTGGCCGTTGGCCTGTCTGTCCAGACACAATGCATGTTCATCTGTCTGTCCATCAACCTCATTTAGCATCTGAGTGTTGCTACACCTTTGGGGGCCATTGGAGAAGTGCAGGGAGTTGTGGAGGAGACCCAGGGGTCAGGGGCCCTTGCAGGTGTGTCTGTCCCCCTGCCTGTGGCTGTCTGACTACCCTGGGGCCCACACGCTCATGTCCCGGTGCACAGAGCTTGTGGTGGCAGAGTCCGTGGTGGTCATTAAGAAGCTGCTCCAGATGCAGCCTGCACAGCACGGAGAGATCATCAAACATCTGGCAAAGCTCACAGATAACATCCAGGTGAGGGAGGAACCCTAGTTTCCCTCCCATCCCAGCGCCCCCCACCCCAATGTGATTTTAAAACCCTGTAATTAAACACTTCTAAGCCTTCATAAGATCAATGTCCTTACCTTCCATGCTGGCTCTGAAAGGTCTGCAGGTGGAAGGGGAAAAAGGGAGCATCCACGTGGTCCCCATGTGTTGCCCAAGACTCACTTACCCCCTGAGGGTCCCTTGCTGAGCTCCATGCTCCTCTTATACCACTGCTCCTCTTTGCTCTGAAGCTCTGGCCAATTGACAAAGCTTATGTTTTTCTGTTGCACTGCGAAGCTGAAACATTTAAATAAGGTATTCCTTGAAGATTCAGGAAGAATAACACAAAAGTAAAACAGTGAAGGTGCAATGGATCTAGAAAATCAGTCTTCTAAACTAAACCAGGGCTGACTTTGGCCCTTGAAAACTGTGCCTGTGCTAGTAAACCCCTGGGGAGAGGGGAGACGCTGCCCAGGCAATGCTCACCTTTTAATCTCTCTCCCACCAGCCCCCTGACCCATTTCCAGAGATCCCCATGATTCATAAGCCAGCACAGTTGGTAGGATCGCCATTGGTGTGGCAAGCCACATGCCAACCCACATTTCCACATGTACACCTGTCTTGACCCTTCTCATACACCAACAGGTGCCCATGGCCCGAGCCAGCATCCTGTGGCTTATCGGCGAGTACTGTGAGCACGTCCCCAAGATTGCACCTGATGTCCTGAGAAAAATGGCCAAGTCCTTCACGGCAGAGGAGGACATTGTCAAGCTACAGGTCATCAATCTGGCAGCCAAGCTCTACCTGACTAACTCGAAGCAGGTAAGGATTGAAAGATGCCCCCTAAAACATGCTGGGCCCTGGGAATGGCTGAGGCAGGAATCTGTGGGCCCTCACCAAATAAGTGTGAACTCCAGCATCTCTTTTGGAAGAGAGAATGCAGAGCAAGAGTCTAGTGTATCCAGGTAACTGGTGTCCCCCCAGTGTCCACAGCTACTCTGAGGACGTGGGGCCGGTAGGGATGGTGGCCATCGTTGAAGAGGCTCTGCTGTGGGGCTGTGACCTCCAGTCACAGAGTGTTCCTACCTGCTACCTTGGGAGCAATGGGGCCGTAAGAACCACAGTGGAGTGGGGCTGAGGAAGGGGCCAGTGATGACAGACACTGGTGGGAGAAAATGTGTCCTAGGAGATAGGGTCTGTCCTTCCTTCCAAGGCTTGGTCATGTTCGGCCAGTCTGTGCCAGGGATGTAAGGGCAAGTCTCTGCTCGGCTGGGGCAGTACTGGTGTCCATTGTCATTCTCAAGGTTAAAGGTTATGAGAGGTACCATAGCCAAGGGCATGGCTCCACTAAGCTGGAATATCAGGATATTAAAAGCCTCTTAAGTGTCGAGCAACCCCTGAGATGGTTGAAAGAGATTGTCCTAAAAATACAGTGTAATGTGCAGAGTTTTCAAGGTGTTGGAGAGGCTAAGCACTGTGACAGTTCCTATACTCACTACCCCACTCAGTTAAGGGAGTTGGGAGTTGGTAAATGATCACCTGTGGACCAAATCCAGCCTGCTGCCTGTGTTTGTAAATAAAGTTTTATTGGGAATGGAAATGTCCATTCATTCGTTTATTGTATATGGATGCCTTTGTGCTACAGCAGAGTTAACTAGTTTCAAGAGTCCATATGGTCCACAAAGCCTAAAAGAGTTACTCCCTGCCCTTTCTAGAAACAATTTGGCAATCATGGAGCAGAGCTCCTGGGCGGCTGGTTGGGGTCAGCAACATGGGTAAACCCTAGAGATTTTGACATCCCTGCCCACCTGCAGGTGGTTTCTTTGCCTTCCCATCTAGTCTTTGGATGGTGGCATTTGTGCTTCTTCAGTGGCTCCTTTGATCCATGTGCCTACGGTGGGTGCCGTAAAGCTGGGGAGGCAGGGCCACCATAGGCTGGGACACTTGTCGGGAGTTGGGACAGGCATTTGTGCTTCTTCAGTGGCTCCTTTGATCCATGTGCCTATGGTGGGTGCCCTAAAGCTGGGGAGGCAGGGCCACCATAGGCTGGGATATTTGTCGGGAGTTGGGACAGGCAGCTGTCATGCATGGGACCAGGTCTGTGAGTGTCAGTATTGCGGGAGAAGTGGGTTGAAGAGAGAAATTAGAGCACTGTGGGGAGGTGTTCAGTCCCTGAACAAATATTTGTGTGCCTCCTTCGTTCAGAGAGGAGGAAGGAACAGGTGGGAGGAACATTTGAAAAGATGAAGCCGCGTGGGTGGGGAGCTGCCCAGAGAGGCTGAGGACCGAGCAGGACTCCTGAGCCCCAGGATGGTGATGTGTGATGTCGGCACATTCTCATAAGCTGGGTGCGTTCACATGCCATTTCCCTAAGCTGGCACTGTTAGCTATATGTACATTTGCTCAGTGCTTTACCTAACATGCATTTCCTGCATGCTTACTGTGCCTGGCACAGAGATATGTCCTGGGATAATGACAATGAGTGAGACATGTTTACTGACCTCCGAAGGCTCACAACAAAGTGGGGGAATTGGTACAAAACACAAAGCAATAAGAACTGTAGTCAGGGTTGGAGCAGAGAGTGCGGGTGTGTCCAGCTGAACCCCTCTCCTAGACAGGACACAGGGGTCCTACTCCCATCAGGGCGGCCAGTATAGCTGTTCTGGCAAATGGACATTAACTCCAGGTGCCCTGTACTAAAGGTGCGCCCTCCAAGGTACAGGCCCTATAGGATGGTTCTTTGATTCAATAAAGAGAGCTTTTCTCCTCCCTCCATTTTTTTTCCCAATTTTTTTCTTCCCAGCCTGTTCTCAGAGTGGTAGAGAAAAGGGAATCCCTAGCACACCAGAAGGGAGGAGGTTTGCGTGTGCATATGGATGTTCATGTAAAACAGTGGTGATGCTTCCTCCTCCTGCTACCATGGGTGACATTCTGGGGCTGCAATGGGCCATAGCAATCCCAGCCATTCCCAACTTACTGACCCCCAGCACACGCCAGATCCTGGCCCAGGCTGAGGCCAGAGGGATGACCATAGCTCTGCCTGCTGTGGCTCAGCAGATAACCAGGTTCCAGGCCACAGGCCACCAAAACTCTGATAATAGATGTATTAACAGAGGAACTGGGGTGGCGGCAGCAGTGAAGGTGCTCATTATAGCACCAGGGTACGGCACCAGGGGCAACTGCCTGGACTTCTTTTGACAGTGAGTTTGCTTTTTGTGTGCCAGGTGAGATATGTGGGAGGAGGGTCCTTTAGGAGCATGGTGGGAGCTAAAATCTGGCCTCCACGTTGGATGGAAGATTTTGATAAAGTTCTGCAGAATTAAAAATTAAAAAGGTAACTTTTTTTAATATCATGAAGCTTATGCATGATCATCATAACATATTTTGAAAACCCAGGAAAATAATAATTAAAAATTTAAATTAGGGAACCCTGGGTGGCGCAGCGGTTTAGCGCCTGCCTTTGGCCCAGGGCGCGATCCTGGAGACCCAGGATTGAATCCCACGTCGGGCTCCCGGTGCATGGAGCCTGCTTCTCCCTCTGCCTGTGTCTCTGCCTCTCTCTCTCTCTCTCTCTCTGTGACTATCATAAATAAATGAAAATTTAAAAAAAAATTTAAATTAGCCATAGGCCTACTACTTAGAAAAGACAACACCATTAATCTTATATTTTCTTAGCTCTTATTTATTTTTTAAAGATTTTATTTATTTATTCATGAGAGACAGAGAGACAGAGACACAGGTAGAGGGAGAAGCAGACTCCCTATGAGGAGCCTGATGTGGGACTCAATCCCAGGATCCCGGGATCACGACCGGAGCCAAAGGCAGATGCTCAACCACTGAGCCACACAAGCGCCCCCCATTAGCTTTAAAAAATACATTTCTGGTGCCTATAGATAGCCATCTAGAAGTTGCCCATTGGTGTCTTATTCAATATATTAATTTTTTCATTTCTCTTTCCTTCAAGTGCCATCATATTTAGAAAGTTTTTTCCCCAGTCATATGTCATTTAAAAATATCACCAGTAATTTCATCTAGATTTCTATTTTTGTGTTTTTTAAATCCATTGTAGTAGTTTTCTCTTGCTGTGTAATAAATTACCATAAGCTTAGTGGCTTAAAACAACATGCTTATTTTCTCACAATTTCTGTGGGTTAAGAGTCAAGGCATGGGGTTTCATTGGGTCTTATGCATAGCTACCATTGAGATGCTGGCAAAGACTGGGTTCTCATCTGGGATTCTACAGGGAAGGGTTCACTTCCAGATTGGCAGGGTCGGTGCTTGGGTGCAGTTCTTTGGGATGCTAGGACTGAGGCCTTGGCTGCTTACTGGCTGTCAGCTGGAGACCACTTCAGTTCAAGAGAGCACTCTCAGTTCCTTGCCGAGGGGGTCTCCCAACACCACTGCTTATTTCTTCAAAGCTACAAGGTAAAAAGTCTCTAGAGCAAATCTTATATAATGAAACATAATCATGGGATTAGATTTCACCCCATCACTTTGGCCATATCCTATTGGTTAGAAGCAAGTTTTAGGTCTTGCCCACACTCATGGAGAGAGGATTGCATAAAGGCACAAACACCAGGAGGCAGGAATTGTGGGGGAGGACCTCAGATCTGTGGGCCATGTCCATCTAGAGTTTATTTCTATATGTAGGGTCAGGATGTATTTTGTTGTATTTTTTTCTGAGGAGCTGGTGTCCCAGTGTGATTTTACAGGTGGTTGGAAGGTGGCAGGTATGTTAACATCCATTCTTGAAAAGGAGTCCATGTTCCTTACTTAAAAGTCTACCCCAGAAGCTGGAGCCCACTGGTCCATGGGGACCTGGTTCTGTTCTTGGTGCACTGTCACATGTCTCATAGGCCCTCTTGAGCTGCCCATAAATCCTGCACATCCTGGCTGAATGAGGTGACGGTCCTGCTGGTGCAGGCTGGATGCTATGATTTCTGGTGAATGGATCCTTGGTATGGAGAAGGGTAATGAGTTGTTATAAGCAAATCCTGCAGCATAGAGGTGGGTGAACCAACCCCTTCCTCTATTGGTTGTTGATAATACAGTGAAGTTTGTGGACAGACAGATCCAAATCCTTAACACTTCTTTCCAGAACTAGGCAAGGACTTGGGGGGGTAGGGGTGGGGGGGAGTCTGATCAGCCAGCTGGGAAGTCTGTAGAAGGGAATCAGCAGCATCTTGATGATGGACCATGTTGATGAGGGCATCCACCAGCCATGAGCAGTCAGACGATGTCTGGCCCAGGGAAGGGAAGGTCTGTGACAGAGTCCATTGCAAGGCATCTGAGGGGGGATGGAGTTGAGAATACTTACCTGTGATGGGAAAAGTGTAGCAGGCGCTGCTACTGCTAGGAGGGACTGAGCCGAAGTCCCTGTGGGCCGTGTCATAGGCACAAGGAAGTCACTGTAGCTCTCTAGCTTTGCCACAGCAGCAGCTCTGATCCTTTGTGATGCTCCCACTGGGTTACCCAAGTCAGCCATGTACTTGGCTGGATGTCCATAAACCTCAGGCAGACCAGGGCTGGTTCAGGACTACCTCCACTGGTTCCTGCTGCCCTGGGCACTCTGGCTGTAGGGACAGGAGATCTATGTACTTGGTGGTTCTGTCTTGGTCACAAGACATAGAGACCCAGCTGGGGATAGCCCCCTTATGTCATCAGTAGGCAGTGCAGATTGCTGGCTCTGGTGGGCCTGGGCCTAGAAGCAGCACCAACTGGCTCTTTAACCTGAAATATGTCGCTTCTGACTCTGCTTCTCCTCTGTAAGTGGGGGCAATAGTCCCTACCTCTCAGAAGGGCTGCAGACATTCCATGAGGTCATGTGAAGCACCATACATAACACACAGCCCTAGAAGGCCTCTATCAATGACGTCTGCCCCCTATCATGCTATGAATGCAAGTCAGAGCAGTCCAGGATCAAGATTTTAGGTCCTGGGATGTGGCTGCCTCCATTGCAGACAGCGGATCCTGCATGATTCCAGCAAACCCATAGGCAGCTCCAGTTTGCTGTGATCTCAGAACCTTCCAGGGGAGGCCATGGCCTCTGGAGACTCCAGGCTGCTCAGAGTCTACCATATGGGTTAATGGGGCATGAGGACAGCCCTTGCCCAGGGGATCCCTGTTTGTCCTCCGGTCTCCTTCTGTTGTCTACTTTTCCTCTGGGTGATGCTGGCTGGGAATTGTGGGATTTCCAGTAGAATGTTTCAGACCTTCACTCATCCTGCCACCCCAAAGTACCCGGCCTGGAGTAGGCGGGGTACAGTAGGGACCCCAGACTGAGGAATGATGGGGCCCACGGCCAAGAGGGAGGAGATTCCAAAAGGGCAACCTATTTTGCTGGGCCATGGCAGTTGTCAGAGTTCGGGTCAGGCATCAGCCAGGGACGTGAGGGGAACGGCAGAGTGGTACAACAGCAGGTGGGAGAGGGCGTGGTGGGGGCAGCTGGCCCTCAGCTGGGAGGGAAGCACTTGCTTGGAGGTGTCGGCTTACAGACTGCTGCTGGGCCTTCTGTGTCCCCACCCTTTCTGATGGCTGCTGATCATCTCTCATCCCCCAGACCAAGCTGCTGACCCAGTACGTGCTGAGTCTGGCCAAGTATGACCAGAACTATGACATTCGTGACCGAGCGCGCTTTACCCGACAGCTGATCGTCCCTTCAGAGCAAGGGGGGGCCCTCAGCCGTCATGCCAAGAAGCTCTTCCTGGCACCCAAACCAGCCCCAGTCTTGGAGTCATCCTTCAAAGGTGTGAGCGGAAATCAAGGGTGACCTCCTGGTGGAGGGGGAAGAATTGGTCAGAAACCCAGATCCAGACTGTGCCCCTGAGGTCCCAGTCTTAGCCAGACATCAGGACTTCTGGAGAAATGCCAGTCTCCCACTTCCCCCTAGCCCACCCCCTCTTGCCTGTCCTGCAGCACCCAGGACTTAATCACCCACTAACCCACAACCATACCTCCCAGCTGGTATGGGCTCCTGGCTCCTTCCCCATCTGGCTCCCCTGCCCACCTCCCTCCCTGAGCTGGCACTACCTATCAAGATTTAAATACTAAGGACCTGGGAAGGCAGGAAATCAAACAGCATTCAAAGGAGAGGTGTATGTTTGTAAAATTCCTGAGGAAGAAGTTGCCAGCACTCTGGGCTGTCCCTGGAGCTCGGCCCAAATGCTGGGTCGTCAGCGTTGCCTCTCTGTCCTTGGGTGCATCTCCTATGACAGGGGCCTGGGGAGAGGCCAGGAGGGGAGGGTCCTTCAGCTGGCTCTCTGGACCTTGGAATCTTACACAGGGGGGAGCCTCTATCACAAAGCTCAGTTCTCCGGGGTGCCTTTCGGTTCTGCATTTTCCCTTCCCTGGACCTCAGGAATAGGGAGATTCTGAGGGATGGAGCAAGTTTGAAAATCTCCCAGGAAGGAGGAATTCCTCTCTCCTCAATACCATCCCCATTCATCAGTCTCTGATTTGCCCTCCGATGCCACAGGCTGGACCTCAGGCCCCGACTCTTTCCCACTCCCGTTCAGACTGCACGTGCCTCCCCACGGGGTCCAGAGTCTGACCAGGCATGTCTTCCAGTCTTGATCCAACCTGCCCAGCCTCTTCCTCCTACCAACCAGGCCGCCTTTCCAAGCCTGGCTGTGCAAAAGCACGCAGCCCACATTGCCCCGGAAAAGGAGCCACGCTCTTATGTCTGCCTCCCCTTTAGATAGAACCAAGCAGAGGAGCTAGCAGCATCTTCTAGGCCTGGAGTCCACCACCCTCCGCCCTTCTCCCTCAGCCCTTGCTCTAGTCAGGCCAGACAACCCGAGGGTGCGATCAGGGTGGAAGAATCCTAACGGAACATGCTCACTGCTTTCATCTGCCTAGAGGGGGATCCTGACCAGAGTCGTGCTCCCCACCCCAGGAGATGACTCTCTCAGGGGATTTCCTAAAACCTACTACTGGCCTGACCTCTAACCCTGCCCCCAGACCGGGATCACTTCCAGTTGGGTTCACTGTCCCACCTGCTCAATGCCAAGGCCACAGGCTACCAGGAGCTCCCAGACTGGCCAGAGGAAGCTCCAGACCCATCTGTGCGAAATGTGGAGGTCAGCAGGGGTAAAGGATTGAATTGTATGTGTGTGGGGGGAGGGCAATAGCAGAGAGTCCTGGCAGTGCTGCCCGGCCCTCCTGATACCCTCCCCACATGCAGGAAGAAGATCTGTCTCTTATCGAGACCCACGTGGGCCTGTTGGGCGAATACACTGAGGTCCCCCTGCCTGTGTGCCATGTGCCCTCTACTCTGTGTGCAGTGCTCTCTCTCCCACCCTGTGCTCCCCTCTCACCCTCCTCGTGTGCTGTACCCCATTTCCTCCTTGGTTAGCAGTGCTCCCTCTTTCAGCAGCCTCTCCTCCCCTCCACGGACAGTGCCGCTCCACTCATCCCCACTTTCCCTCTTGGAGACTGGTCCAAGTAGGGCTCAAGAAGAGGCAGGTGCAAAGTTAAAGCCTTGTGCTTTCCTTCCTCTGCCCCAACCATGATTTAATGCTCCTCTTGCCCCACCCCCATCTCCAGGTACCTGAATGGACCAAGTGCTCAAATCGAGAGAAGAGGAAGGAGAAGGAGAAGCCCTTCTACTCAGACTCTGAGGGGGAGTCAGGCCCCACAGAGTCTGCAGACAGTGGTGAGGAGATTGGCAGAGCTGGGATTCTGTGCTCCTGCCTGTGTGTGTGTTTCACATGGTTTCATGTGTCTCTGGGGTTGTGCACCTGCTTGTGTAGACCTGTATGTGTGTTGGTAGACCTGAGGGATTGCATGTCCCCTACTAGTCCACCTGTGTCCTGGTTGGTGCAGGTGGCATCTGGGGCCAGAGGCAGCTCAGGGGGTTGCAGCTTCAGTGCTGAGTCAAGGTGGGGTCCCAGGGCACCTGCTCTGCACACAGGGAGGGGGCCTGAGACAGTTCCTCCACAGACCCTGAGTCCGAGAGTGCCTCAGACAGTAAGAGCAGCAGTGAGAGTGGCTCTGGGGAGTCCAGCAGTGAGTCTGATAGTGAAGACCAGGAGGAGGAGAAAGGGAAGAGCAGTGAGAGGTAAGAGGCCAGCCAGCCAGATGCTGGTGGGGTTTAGGAATCTCCTCTGGAAAAGAAGGGGGAACGCTCAGCCTTAGCCACTCTCCTAAGAGCCCCTGTGCTTCCTCATGCAGACCTCCTGCAAACCCCAGTCTACTCCCATGATCGCTGCTGTGGTTGGCTATAGAGGGTCTCTGTGCTCTCATGGGGGGCAGCCTGGAGAAGCAGTCTGGGGCCAGGGGCCCCAGCATAGGAGCCTGGGTGTGGGCTCCACTGGCTTAGGCTCCCTACCCTCCCTCCCACTTTCCTGGGCTTCTCCTGCTCTTCTGTGAGGCAAGAGGGGTGTCCAGGCTGGGTCTGAGCCCCACCTGCCCTCTCTCCTCCAGTGAACAGAGTGAAGAGGAAAGTGGGAAGAGGAAGATGAAGAAGAGGAAGAAGGTAGCCGAGGGACAAGGAGAAGGTTCATCCTCAGATGAGGGCAGTGATTCCAGCAATAGCTCATCAGAGTCTGAGAGGACATCAGACACCGAGGAGGAGCAGGTGGAACCTGATTCTTGGAGGAAAAAAACAGTGAGAACCTTGGGGTGGGAGGGGGGCTCATGGGCCAGGCCCAGTCATCTCCCTACCATCTAGAATAGACCATGGTATCACCTACCCAACCCAGAACAGGCCACATGCTCTCCTCCTGCACCTGCATCCCATTCTTCTCTTTCAGCCTCCCAGCAGCAAAAGTGCCCGCGTGGCCAAGGAGATCTCCCTGCTTGACCTAGAGGACTGTGAGTTTGGGTGGTAGAAGTCACGGGGAAGGACACCTCGGGAGGATGGCTTAAGAAGGTCCATGGGAGCTCTGGGTTAGGCTCCCCAGGGCTCCAGGGTAGGAGAAGCAGACGGAACACACTTCTGGGTTGAGAGGCAGCAGGGCGACCTCCCCAGGTGTGGGGTTGGGATCAAGGACCAAAATCTGCCTGGAGCCCCCAGGCGGCCATGTGCCTCGCTGTCCGTGGTGCTGAACCGTGTGCTCCCCGAACTCTGGGCTCCCTGCTCAATCCAAGCCAATTCCACATTGGCTGTCCCTCATCATCCCCTCCCTCATCTTACTCCCACAGTCACTCCTTCCAGTGTCCAGCCTGTGTCTCCCCCCACGATTGTGTCCACCAGTCTGGCTACTGACCTGGAGGGCCTGACGCTCACAGATTCCCCGCTGGTGCCCTCGGTGAGTGGGATGGTGGAAGGACTGCTGGGGCGGGTCTGCATAATCTCTGTGGTGCATCCTATAGTGTGGCTTTGTGTGTGGGGGGATGTGAAGTAGGGGATAGCATTGAGTCCCCATTGCTCGATGACTGTAGATGAAGACAAGGCAGGGATGGGCGCTCTCCTTGCTCTTCCTCCCCTCCAGCTGCTGAGTCCGGTGTCTGGTGTTGGGAGGCAGGAGCTGCTGCATCGTGTAGCTGGCGAGGGGCTGGCTGTGGACTACACCTTCAGCCGCCAGCCTTTCTCTGGGGACCCCCACATGGTGTCTGTGCACATCCACTTCTCCAACAGCTCTGAGACCCCCATCAAGGGCCTGCACGTGGGCACCCCCAAACTGCCCCCTGGCATCAGCATCCAGGAATTTCCTGAAATCGGTACGAAGGGCCTTGGACATGGTAGAGAAGGAGGCACCTGGGTAGAGTCCACCTTTCTGTGGCTGCCAATGCCCTCTCTGCCCTGGGCCAGGCTGTGGGAGTACATAGAGGGCATCTGATGTGATCATGCCCTGGTAGACAAGATAGATTGGGAAACCAGCAAGTCCATATCAGAGCAGAAGGCCTTTGTGGTTTCCGGACTGATTTAAATGGGGTGAGGGTGGGGTTGGGGAAAGGGTAGTTAGATTTAAGGAGAAAACCAGGAACCGTCTCTAAAGGCCCAGAAAGTCAGGAGTGCCTAGAGGAGTGATCAGTTCTGGCAGTGGTGGGTTCTAGACCTCTCAGGTGATGGTGTCTGCCCCTCTCTCCCTTTCCCTGCCTCATACCGCTGCAGAGTCCCTGGCGCCGGGAGAATCTGCCACTGCTGTAATGGGCATTAATTTCTGTGACTCAACCCAGGTGGCCAACTTCCAGCTGTGGTGTGTATCCAACTCCTGGTGGGGTAGAGGGTGGGCTGGGGAGAGGAGGGAGCAGAATGTCAGGGATACATCTTGAGCTGCTGGATCCAGAAGCCATCTCAAGCCATCAGATCTTCTCTCACTTTCTTGTTGCTTCCAGACAAAGTGGGGGAGTGAGGGGAAAGACGCTGGCCTCATTTCCTCTCCTTCTGTCTCCTCCCACCCTTCCCAGTACCCAAACCCGGCAGTTCTATGTCTCCATTCAGCCACCCGTTGGGGAGCTGATGGCTCCCGTGTTCATGAGTGAGAATGAGTTCAAGAAGGAACAAGGTGAGCGCTCCCTGGGGTAGAAGGGAGGGGGCTCAGCACCATCCGCTGGGGCTCTCAGTAAGCTCCCAATGCAGTCCTGCTGGAGGAGCCTCACCATCTTCAGACAGAGGGAGGCCTCATAGCCTGTGCCTCCAGCAGAAGCTTCACAGAGGGTGGGACACTTCAGTGAGGGTTTAGAGGGAGTGGGACTTGGCCAAGCAGAAAATTCTAGGCCAGTATTCCAACTTGGGGAGATACGATGAGTGTGTCCCAGTGAAAGTTTATAGGGAAGAAAGGAAAAGAGTTTGGTTTGGAGCTCAGGAGTCCAGCACAGAGGGGTAGTCAGAACAAAGCTGAAAATGAGATGTCTGGTCTAGTTTCTGAAAGCCTTGATTGCTATGCGAAAGGATTTCAATCTCAGAATTTCAGAGCTGGAAGGGGTCACCAAAGTTATCAGGTCCACCAAGACTGTGAGGGAGATTAGGACTGTAGGCCTCATTTCCCTAGCAGTGGAGGACCCCCTGAAAGGTGTCTGAGGAAGGGGCCAGGTTCAAATCTCTGTTTCAGCCAGGAGAATCCGGCAGCACTCATTGCTAGGACTGGATGGGGAGAGCCAGCACCAGGGACAAGATGCAGGACAGCGTAGGCAGTGGAAGCATGGCGTTTCGTGACTTGTGGCTCAAAATTCTGACCCCACTGCTCATTTGCTGTGTGACCTTGGCCTAAATTCTGTCACTGTGTGCAAGACTATTGCAGTAGCTCTGGTGAGGGATGGTGAGGATGGAGATGAGAGCCCCAGCAAAGGGACTGCAGGGCTGGGGCGGGTAGTGGTGCTGGGAAGGGGGAGCCAGGGGCTGCTGCCCTGATGAGGAATAGAGGGAAGTATCCAAGGATGGCAGGAAGAACTGTACCCTTCACCTACACCAGGAGTTGACAAACTTTTCCTGTAATGGGCCAGAAAGCAAATGTTTTCGGCCATATAGTCCCTGCTACAATTACTCAACTCTGCTGTTGTTAACACAAAGCAGCCATAGATAATGTGTAAATGAACAAGTGTGGCTATGTTCCAATACAATTCTATTTATGGACACTGAAATTTGAATTTCACATCATTTTCATATGTCACGAAATATTGTTTGATTTCTTTTCCCCTGACTCTTAAAAAATATAAAAAACATTGCAGGCCATACAGCCCACTGGATCAGGCTAGATCTGGCCTGCAGCCTGTAATTTGCCAAAGCCCTGATATGGGAGAAGGAGGAATGGGCTAGTCAGGGGAGGAGGGGAGATCATGGTTGGTTTCAAAGAAGCTGATTGTGAGGTGCATTTGGGAGATTCAGGAGGCAGCCTTTAGCAAGTAACTGAAGATGTGCGCCTGTGCCCTGGAAACACCTCTAGGCTAGAGTCATGAGTACAGAGGTGAGAGCTGAAGCTGTGAATGAGTCAGAGGGCCCTGGGGGAGAGACCGGTGGGAAGGGAAGGCCAGGGAGCATCCTTGCAGAAAACCTGCATTCCTCAGGAGAAGGAGGGGAGGGGTAAGAGAAGGAACAGAGTGAGAGGCAAAAAGAGAACCCAGAGAGAACACCAGAAGCGTGCCCTGGGGTCAGATGGTGACAGGCCAGAGCGCTGCAGCAGATCGCAGATTGGAGGCTGCTGCTTACTTCAGCGGGCAGGTCATTGCAAATGGGGGACAGAGGCCAACTGCAGTGGGTGGGAGGAGACCAGGGCTTGAGGCAATGGAGCCCTCTGTGGAGGACTTGACCATGCATGGAGAGGGAGACATGGCACTGCCATGAGGAACTCTTGTTCTGGAGAGGACTGTGTAGGGACTCAGAGACTTGGCCGCAGGAAAATAAAGGTACAGAGACAAATGTCGCTAGTCAGAAAGGAAGGGGATGAGGGCAGCAGGAGAGGGAGGTCTGTTCTCAGAAAGAGAAGAATGAAGGAGGACAGAAAGGCTGAAGAAAGGGCGGCAGGAGGGCAGAAGGAGGACATCACACGGCTGGCCTAGCATGTGTGAATGGAGGGTTGAGGTCAGACCTGTAGAGTGAGGGGTTGTAGGGGTTTCAGGAGCCCTGGCCAGGCTTGGAGCTCTTCCCACAGGTGGAATGAGAGGTCCACCTCTGAGAGCCTTGAGTGGCTGCTGGGCTCTGGCTTGTCCAGTGAGGACCAGTGCCCTGACCAGGAGTGTAACAGCCACCCATAATCTGCTTGTGAGGGCTTAGCTTCCAGGAGCTGGGAGGGATTTGAGCGTGGGTGGGAGAGCCAGCTAGGAAGGACCAGAGTGTGAGGGCTGGATTGGAGAAAACCTCTTCGAGCTGACTGGGCACCACGTCCACTGGTCCTTCCTTCCAAGGGGCAGATAGCCCAGATGTCTGACAGTGGGGAAGTGCCAGACCAGTCTTTGGTCAACAACATGGATAGAGCTTGGGGTGGCATAGGGTGGGGAGGCTGGCTTCCTAAAGGAGGGTGTGGTCCAGCAGGAAAGTAGCCCCTTAAGATCGAGAGATTCAGACCCCCTCTTAGCATGAGACCTGGCCAGACTAAGGGGAACTTGGTGCTCAGTGGACAGACTCAGGTGCCAGCCTATGGTCCCAGCATGGCCTCTGCCCTCATCACAATCTCTGCCCCCAGGAAAGCTGACAGGCATGAGCGAGATCACAGAGAAGCTCACGCTGCCAGACACTTGTCGGAGTGACCACATTGTGGTGCAGAAAGTGACAACCGTTGCCAACCTGGGTCGTGTACCCTGTGGGACATCTGATGAGTACAGGTACAAGGCCACCAGCAGAGGGGAAGAGGTGGGCTCTGGGGAGGCTGGCTCTGCAGGAGGCCCCAAGCCACGAGGCTGAGCCCCTTCCTCTACCCTCACCTCAGATTTGCAGGCAGGACACTGACCAGTGGGAGCCTGGTCCTACTGACCCTGGATGCCCGGCCCACTGGAGCCGCCCAGCTGACTGTCAACAGCGAGAAGATGGTGATTGGCACCATGCTGGTGAAGGACGTGGTACAGGCTCTGACCCAGTGATTCCCAAGGGCTAGGACCTCTTTGACCTCCACTTGTCGCTCCCTCATTGTATCTGGGCTGTTAGCCCCCCTCTTCTCTCTCTCATAGCAGATAGTATCCAGGGGGGCCTGTTGCCCTCTGCTCATTACCAGGCTCCCTCCACAGGGCCCCTCCCTATAAGTTCCACGGTGACCTATGCAGGGGGAGCCAGCAGCTGCTCCCCTCATCTTCCTGGCTTTCTGCAGCTATTTATGTAGCAATATCCCAATAAAATGTCTTCTCCCTATATGCTGGTTCAGCTTTCCTTCCTTCTGGGTTCTGATAAGGCAGTGGGTGACCTGTGGTCCCTGTGACTTTCTAGGGAAGGCTGTGGCTGATTCTCACAGGTGACTCCGCTTGGACTCTATGGTGACTGTCCCTGAATCTCCAGGTCTGTCTGTGGAAGAGACACCCAAGCAGAGACAGGGAGACCAAGCCGGAAGAACTCCCTGGTCATTTTTATGAGCCTCTGCAAAAGCAAGGCCTCTCCAGTAACCATCCAGCACTCTTAGGATTCTGCCTTGGTTTCCCCCATGGGCTTTTGGGGAAGACACATAATGTGGGGAACTCCCCAGATGTAGGTGTGAGGTTCAGAATATGTCTGCAGTGGAGCCCCCACCAGGATGACCCAACCAGCCATCGCAGTTGGGGAAGAACAGGAGAGGTGGAAGAGTGCTTCCCAGATGTCCCGTGTCCCATCAGCTGGGGATTTTATTAACATGCAAATTCCGGTCAGTGTTTTCAGGGGGGCTTGAGATTCTGCATTTCAACAAAGTTCCAGGGGCACAGGCTATTGCTCTGTGGACACTTGAACAATGAAGACATGCCTTCTGGAGGTGGCAGTGAGGGTCAGGGCCCTCCTTGATGCCTTTCCCCCTGACAAAAGAGGCTGAGCAGTGGTTCCAAAAGGTGTAAAAAGTATCACATTAGCATGTGTTCTATTAAAAAATGTCTATGATCAACAAGATTAGGAATAATGGATTTAAATGAAACAAGTTTATTTCCCACATACCTTCTCAGAGCCTTTACTATGTCAACTTGCACTGCGACCTATCCTTCCCCCAAAGAGGTTGGAGCAGTGTTACCCAAACTTGGTTTTGCTTTTGAAACACTTTTTCCCCAGAACGTGTTGATTGCCTGGGTTACAAGGAACACACTCAAATGATGGTTTGAGATGTGATGCCTCAGCCTCTGGTCCTCTGTGACCAAGACTCCACTCCCTTGGCCATACCTCCCTCCCCACAGCCCTGTCCCTGAGGCTTTCCTGAGCAAGTCGCTGCGGGGTAGAGACAGGTATAGCAGGTGTGCCCTCCTCTCAGGGAAGGGGGACAGAGGAAGTGCCAGGGGATGCCCCTGCTGCTGTCCTTGGAGACCGGCTGGGCTCCGTGGCACCAGAGAGCAGCTGGAGCCCCACAGTCTCCCTGGGATCACTGTTTTTGTCGCTGCTCTGCCAGTCAAGGGCAAACTGGTCGACTCATTCTCACTCTTGTCTCTGAATCAGCACTGCCCAGAGCAGAAGAAGGTGAGAGTGGTTTTCTGAGGAATCTGGACAAAGACCATCAGAGAATTCTAGGCTGACCTATCCTTTGCAACAAAAGCCCCAGAGCAGATTCTGTAAGAGCCAGAAGCGTATAATGCATAGCCCCCAACATCCCTCGAGCGGCTCCCAGCCCCAATTCCCACAGCCTCTCAGGAAGGGTCCTGGGGTCTCCGATCCTGAGTGAGAATCCTACGTGCTGGAATCTGGTTGTAGCCCTGTGCTGGGTCCTCTGGAGCATGTCCCAGCCTGTGGGTTTGGTACTCGCAACCCTTTATGAGCAAATGGTTCTTGTGCTGGTCTCAGGAGAGAGGCAGGGAGTGGGGGAGTGAGGTGTGGCCGGAGAGTGTGACTGGGCAGCTGGCCAGGAGGAGGAGGAGCCCAATGAGCAGAATGTGCAGCTGGGGCTGGGGATGCTGCAGCCTCCAAGCTGGGAAGCTGAAAAAGCCCAGGCTGTGCTGAGGGAATGATAGAGGGAAAGAGAAGCTTTGCCAGAGGAAGGGATCAGCTGCCCCAGGACCCAGCCCCCAGACCAGACCAGCCCTCCCAACACTCTAGGTCCCTGGCTGAACCTGCCACAGCCCTGCCATGTCAGCATCCCCCGAGGTCTCTGCAAGGGTAAGAAGGGGCCCACCCAGCACACACTGGGGGGAGCAGATGAGACATGCAGGGCAAGGGGACCTCACTCTCCCCTAGAACACTCTTCTTTCCAACCCATATCATACCCTGTATTTTGTCATGGACCCAAGGCTTTGCAACTCTGGTGCTGCTTTGTCCCCAGGGCCTCAGGGGTTTGGGCTCAGATCTCCTGGATTTCACACTGTCCCATTAGCAGCATCAATGGGGTGGCCAGGAAGCTGGCCCAGGGCTGGGGCCCACAGAGCACTAAGACTAGGAAGCACTCTTAGGATTCTGCTGGTGCATAAGGACGCTGGGAAGAGGTGCAGGTGGTTGGACTCACAGGGGGAGAATGTGCCCCCAGCAAGGATGGGGCACAGCAGGAATGCAGACCCAGGAGGTCTGAGTGTGTCTGAGCCTGACCAGAGGCCTCCACAGGCCAGAGGACAGTGAACTGAGTGAGGGGCTGGTCACAGAGCCCAGTCCAGCATGGCTTCAAAGTAGTGCCCTGGAAAATGCAGAAGAAATAGCTTCAGATTCTTGCCAGGCTGTGGCAACTGGCTAGCTGCCATGACTGGCAGACAGATCTATCTAGGGCTGGTAAGGAAGCCACTATGAGGCTGTGCCCACGCCAGGACCCCCACCCAGCCAGTCCCTAGGGTAAGGCTCTGCGCTAATCCTTCTGGGCATTCTGGGGGCACCTCCTCCTGGCATAGCCTGCAGATCAAAGGGATGGGTGTTGTGTGGGTAACTCAGTGTGACAGGGCTTTCCCTGGTCTGACCGGACAAGGAAGGGAATGTACAAAAACTATGCCCCACAAAAGGGCCTGGGCTCTGGATAGTCAAAATCCTCTCCACCAATTTCTTACCTGAACATTGCTGAGCCATATGCATATCCTGCTCAATCACCCCCATCTCTACTATGGCTCAAGATGACAGGGCTTAAAAGGGGTGGTTGGGGAGGGAAGGCCTGCCTAGGTCCCTCCTTCCTCTTCGGTGACCGAGCAGCTGATATGTCCTAGGTGCTATGGTGACAAAGCTATAAACTAATGACTATGACAGGACTGTGAACCACAGAAGGCCTACTCAGCCCTGTAGGTCCCATCCTACTCTACCAGATGCAGAGCTAACTGGGTGGGGAGAGTCTCAGCTCTGGGGTGCAGACAGGAGAGCTGGAGGAGGGTGCTCAAGGATGAGAGCTGTGTCTTCCCTCTCTGACTGCCTGCTCTGTTCTGTCTCCCGGGTCAAGAGAAGGACAGTGAACTAGGATCTGGAAGCATGAAACCCAGGATAGGGTATGGAGCACAGGGGGTACCAGCAAGGCACACCATCTTGGATTTTCTACTAGAAGGTCTGAGCCCACTGTCTCCCCTATCCCCCACCCCACTGATCTATTAAGAGAAAGTGCTTAGGGCTGTGCTGTTTGACCCTGACCATTAGGAGCTCCATCCTTGTTGCCCCATTACTGTAGAGGATGCTGTGGGATCTCACAGTGGGGCCTGGAACGGTGCTGGGAGTGCCCACACCCCCTGAACTTCTCACCACTTCTTATCCTGGTGTCAAGAGTCCTCCAACTTTAGTCCATTTTCAGATCTTCCACCCTGAGATTCTGCTTAAACAGAGATACTGCATGGCTTCTCTGTGGTACCTGGGGACAGAGGTTGGCAAGAGCACAGAAAGAATGCTTATCTTCTGGGAATATCCCAGACACCTCTATATTTTTAAAAGACTGTTTTAAAAATACTACTCAAGGGCACCTGGGGGGCTCTGTCAGTGAAGTGTCTGCCTTCGGCTCAGGTCATGATCCCAGGGTCTTGGGATGGAGCCTCACATTGGGATCCTTGCTCAGTGGGGAGCCGGCTTCTTACTTTCCCTTTGACACTCCTCCCTGCTTGTGTTTTTTTTCTCTCCCTCTCAAATAAATAAATAAAATCTTAAAAAAATAAAATGCAAATACTATTTAAAAGAATTATGTATAACATTCATATAGAAAATTGTGCAAATCACAAGCATGCAATTTGATGAGTTCTCATAGAATGACACCCCCTCCACCCCCGGCACGTAAACAAGAAACAGAGTGTGACAGTACAGCCCCCACATGCTTCCTTCTGGTTTGGGGCAGTGTTTTATTTCGCTGAGAGACCACGGAACTTTGAAGCCATCTGACACCCGATTCCAACTGGCAGTGGGATCCCAGGTGGCCAGCATGGACTTGTGTCTGGCAATGCCTGCACGGTAGTATATGCTACTCTCTGGGGCCACCAGAGAGGGCATCAGCGACCCCTGTAGCAGAGGCGAGGGATGTGGAGATAAGCAGGACTGTCTTCCTGTCTTACCTGAAGGAGAATGTGAGGGGCAGCTCTGGGGTCGGGGAACTCTTGAGGGCTTGGGCAAGGTGACTTTGATCTAGGCTTTTACATGCCAGAGCCCAGCATCTGCACCTGCAGAGGGAAGACAGGGAGAGATGGGGTTGGGAGAGGGTGTCTCCCTAGGACAATGCAGCACGGAGACCCCAGGATCCTGACAGGAATGGCTGCATTCTCTCGAGTGAATCCTGAGACATCTCAGTTTCCTTAACTGAGAACAGAGGCCACGGCCTCCTGAGTTCTGCTCCTGGTGCTGAGACTCCAGTTATCTCTAACCCACTATGAGCATCTCAGGATAAGCAGCTAGCCCTCCGCTTTCACTGTGATCAGTGTGGCAGTTCACCTCCAGGACAGCAAGCACCCAGGGATCCCTGCTTCTGGACATTTGTGCCCTTGGGCCACTCTCTCATACACTTCCTCAGGCTTGACGGGTGTGAACAACGGGAAACTGCAGAAGTGACGGTATGTCCTTCCTGAGATGAGGTTATGAGAGTCACCGTACCTCCATCCTAGTCTCCCTCTCCATCTGGTAATTTGCTCTAGAGAGGGCCAGGTGCCATGTCTTGAGCTAAAGCCAGCAGCCCTCTGGAGGGAGAGGCCCTTGTGACAAAGAACTGGAGTTTTGCCAGGGGCCACTTGAGTGAGCTAAGAAGTAGACCTGCAGCTCTGGGCAAAGCTTCCAATGACTGCAGTCCTGGCCAACAGCTCATCTGCAACCTCAGGAGGGATCCCAAGCCAGAGCCACCCCGCTAAGTCATTCTCGGATTCCTGACTATCAGAAATTGTGTGAGGCGAGACATTTTGTTGTTTGGAGCTATTTAGTTTGGCGTTAACTTTACAGCAATGAATTAATACGACTCAGCCCTGGACTCAACTTGTTGGGTCAAGGGAACGTCCCTCAGAGGGGGCCTGGGCCTTACAGGCCCTTTGCTCTGGCCCTTACAGGCCCTTTGCTCCCACATCATGTCGGTGGTGTGCTGGAGCGGGCGTGCTGGCTCGGAGCACTGACTGTCTGCTCCCAGGAATTCTGTGACACTGGTAGGGTGAAATCAGGTGTGGTGGGAGTATTTATGTCACAGAAATAGGTGACTATGGCAAATCACTCCCCTTCCCACAGCTAACCGTCAGACGTTTGCCAGCACACTACTGCCTTTAATCTCTGCCCCTTATTTCTTTAAAAAACTGTGATATTTAAAGAATATCACATAACAACCACGAATGTACTGATTCCCAGGCTTAAGGAAGAAAGCACTTATCAATTCAGGCAATACTCCTTGTCCTCATTTCACAAGCTCTTCTCTCCTCACCTGAAGTAAATCACTATTTAGAATTTTCCATTTATCAATGTCATGTGTTTGTTTTGTACTTTTACTACATATGGATATGTCCCTGAACAATAAATAATATGGTACTTTGTGATAGCAGTATACTGCATGTTTTAAATTTTTATGTAAATGGCATCATAAAGTTTGTATTCTCCTACCTCCTGCTTTTTTCACTCACTATTTTTTCTTAGTCATCTATGTTGATATAATTTGGCTTTATTTAATTTTTTACTTATATATAGTATTTCACTGTATGACTATACCAAAATTTATTGACCCACTCTCCTGCTGGTGGATATATAAGGTTATTTTATTTTTGCAATTATGAATAATACAGCTATTGGCATTTTTACTCATACCTCCTTTAACAAATACAAAAGTTTCTCTAACAGGTTACCCTAGGAGTTGAATTGCTAGGTCATAGGGTATACACACCTGCAAACCACCAGCATCACCAGAATAACAGCAGTTCACATCAAAAATGATCACAGTACCTTTGTTCATAAGAGTCTTCAAGCTGGAAGCAATTCAAATACCAAACTACAGGAGAATAGAGAAATAAATTCATTATATCCACACACTGGAACCCTGCTTAACAAGAGGACTGAACTGTTGCTACAAGTGACAACATGCGTGGGTCTCACAGATACCATATTGAATGAAAGACACAAACACTTATATGAAGTTCTACAACAGGCAGAGTGAATGTCAGGAAATGAATGAGAATAATTAGAGATACACAGTGGGAAGGGGTATGATGGAAACCTACGGGGTTCTGGAAAAATTCTATGCCTTGATGTGGGTGATAGTTACCTGGCTCTATATGTAGGTAAAAAATTATCGAGCTCGACACTTAAGATTTGTGTATTCTACACTGTGTGTGTTATCCCTCAAGTCAAAACAATGTAGAAAATAAAAGCAAAAAACTTAAGTAGGGGAGCCAATTTATACCCTCGCTGGCAGGGATCCTGCTGTTGGGAAAGTGAGACTTTTTCATTTTTCTCTCCTGTGGTTTCATTCGCATTTCCCTGGTAATTGCTTAAAGTACACATCTACTGATATGTTTGTTGGGCATTTGGGTTTTCAGTGTCTGTCAATTGCCTGTTCCCATCTTTTGCCTATTTTTCTATAGATTTGTCTTTTTTCCTCATTAATTCCTCATAAGGAGTTCTTATGCATTCTGGAAACTAGTCCTTTATAGATCTCACATTGCAAATATCTTCTTCCAACTTATGACTTTTTTTTTCCAGATTTTAAAAATCTTTTGTTAAATCAAAGTTTTAAATTTTAATGTGGCCTGGGGCACCTGGGTGGCTCAGTGGTTGAGCATCTTCCTTTGGCTCAGGTCATGATCCTGGGGTCTTGGGACTGAGTCCTGCATTGGGCTCCCCACAGGGAGCCTGCTTCTTCCTCTGCCTATGTCTCTGCCTCTCTCTCTCTCATGAATAAATAAAACCTTAAAAAAATAAATTTTAATGTGGCCAAATTTAACAATCTTCCTTATGTCTTGTGCTTTTTGTTTCTTATTTACAAAATTCACCCACACTCTGAGGTAACAAAATATTCTCGTATTTCCTTCTGAAACATTCCCAAGTAGTGCCTTTCACGTTTATATCTTTTTTTAAAAAAGATTTTTATTTATTTATTCATGAGAGACGGAGAGAGAGAGAGAGAGAGAGAGAGAGAGAGAGAGAGAGAGAGGCAGAGACACAGACAGAGGAATAAGCAGGCTCCATTCAGGGAGCCTGATGTGGGACTCCATCCCAGGACTCCAGGATCACGCCCTGGGCTGAAGGCGGCGCTAAACCGCTGAGCTACCTGGGCTGCCCTCACGTTTATATCTTAACCCACTTTAAATTTGCATTTGTGTATGATGAAAGGTGGGGCTGGTCCACATTTTAAAATCCCACTTTAGAAAACATTTTAAAAATACCCAAACCAAAGAACATGGTTTCTTCTCCACAGAGCTTGGGAAAAGTCTAGCAAAGACTTGTGTGCTTATTTTACCTCGTAGTTTTGAGTTCCTAAGTGAATCCCCCTTCTGATCTTTTTTAACCAGGAAAATTATTTCCTCCCAGCACTGCCTTCTCTTCTTTCAGTTCTCTGCCTGCGGTGGAAGCAGTGAGCATGACTACAGGGTTCCTCCAGTCCTTCTAGTACATGCATTTAAAACTTAGTCCAGCCAATTACCGTTACACTTAGAACCTGTACTGTAAATCTGGGGCTTGACTGCAGAGACAGTGCCAGGCATAGCTGGGCTCAAAGGCTGTTTGTTGACTCTGAGAATGGATAATGCTGCCTATTTGTTCCTGCTACTTCTGTCAGTGACCAGCTGTGGGGACTTGACCGAGTCATTTAATATCTCCACCTCTGCTGCTTTCCACACCCTACCCTGTGGATTGTGGACACCTTCCAGTCAGAGGTACTGTTCTTCCTGTTCTACCTGCAGGTATGGCCAAGTAAGGGCAGGGAGCAAAGGGGCATGGCTACACCTGAGGCCGTGACTGTATTTTTGACTCAGCCACCCCTTCCTCCACCATCTGCAATAAGCTCTGGGGTCAGTCTGAAGAACTGCACACATAAGGGTCCTGGCAGTTTTGTTCTGATCTAGTTAAGGCTCTGAAACAAGGATATTGTCTGAGTTTGAGTTCCCACTCTTCCATTTCTAGCTCAGAATCCTTGGGCTAGGGATCCCTGGGTGGCGCAGCGGTTTGGCACCTGCCTTTGGCCCAGGGCGCGATCCTGGAGACCCGGGATCGAATCCCACATCGGGCTCCTGGTGCATGGAGCCTGCTTCTCCCTCTGCCTGTGTCTCTGCCTCTCTCTCTCTGTGACTATCATAAATAAATAAAAATTTAAAAAAAAATTAAAAAAAAAAAAGAATCCTTGGGCTAGGTACTTTGCCTTTTTTTTTTTTTTTTTGAGCTTCAGTTTTCTCACCTAACACAGGTAAAACACTTAGAACTGTGCCAAGCACATAGTGCTCAGTGAAGGTCAGCTGTTATTACTGGGACAGCAATTTCTGTTCCAAGTCACCTAAAAGATGCCTTCGTTTTCTTATGGCTAGAAGCTTTAAAATATGAAAGACTTCCCAGATACCTACTCCCTTGGGCACTATTCCAGGTTTCAGATTCTTAGCTTGTTCAGCTTTGGGTCAAGGAGAAGGTTGTACACAAGTTGGCGGCAAAAGAGCTGCACGGGGACCCTAAATATACTGGGCTTTGCTCTTTTAATTTGAATTAGTGGCCAGATTTAAAATTAGGAAAATTTCACGTTTAAAAAACCCAAGACAACCCAGAGTGTCTTAAAAGATCTGGCTGGGTGGGGATCTCATTACAACATGGTATTTATCAGCTAATTACCCTTTTAGATACGCCCAGGCCTTCTCCATGCTCACTCACTCACCCTCATGTGGCTCCTGTGCCACGGGTGACCAGGTTATGACCCCCAAGAAGACAAGATACACCACCCCAGAGCAGCTGTCCTATGCTGTGTGTGGGCCAGGGTAAGACTTGGGAGTGGGCTGCTCCCCAAGAAGGGTGGGCCCCAGGAAGGACCCCCTGAGGGAGGGTCCCAGGGAAGCTGAACCAGGAGGTATGGTTTTCTGGATGGCTGGGGTGCACTACCTTAAGAAGGAGGGCAAAAAAAAAAAAAAAAAAAAAAAAAAGGAGGGCAGATGGCTGGGCAGGAAGAGGGTAGAATAGGTGACAGGTCGGGGATGCAGGACCCCCTTTTGCTCTACCCCTGCAGCCATCACTCTCTGTGCCTGTGACCCCCAGCAACCCAAGAAGTTCCCCGCACAAGGACCTAACTGTGAATGGAGATTGGCCAACTTTCACTGTCACTCTGAGTCCTCCTACTCCATCTGTTCTTACCCGGGCCACCTTCTCCCATTAATCCTCCTGATACAGTAGGTTTAGACCACTGACTTCCTCTCCTTCCACAGAAACCTGCAGTTACCCTCACCCCTCATCCCAGCCAGTAAATCCAGGCCAGCCTCACCGGTCTGCCAGGAACAGCCCCGTGCATAATAAATGCTTTCTAAATAGTGTTATGATGAGCTTACACAGGTAAAACCCTTAGTAATGCTTTACAGATGCTGGCTCCTCTCCTCGCTCCAGTCCCTGTTTCTCCTCAGCTTCTACAAGTCTCCAGTAACATCTCAACAGACCTGATACAGCCATTCCCGTTTACAATTCTTAATAGCTCCCTGCTGTCTGCAAAATAAAGGCCCTTCACAAACTGGGCCCAGGCTTCTTCCCTCCGGTGGTATCAGCACACAGGATCCTCCGTCCGGTCGGATCCAGCCGCTCCGTTCAATCCTCCCTCCCCGCCTTTGCTTGGTCTCCGCCTGGAATGCCATCTCCGCCTCTGCGAGCGCCCGGGGCTTCCGGTCTGCTCCTGCACCAGCTACCCCAGGTCGCCTTCCGTGGCCACAGCCAGGCCCACGGTGGTGCCTCCCGTCCTCTCTCCCTGTAGCCTCCCTTTGCAGGAGGGCAGGAGCGTCGGAAGCGGTTTGCCCAGGGAGCTGCGGTCCGAACAGGACCGCTGGTGTCTTTGGAACTTTCCGGAATCCCCGACGCGTCCCCGTCTCCAGCACCCGGTGCAGCGGAGTGGTGTGAACGCGCCTGCGGAGCCCGGGGACGAGGGCGGGGATAGGGGGGCGGGGGCAGGGGGGCAGGGGGGCAGGGGCGCGCAGGGCTGCCTACCGCCCTGGAGGGGTCCTTGGAAGAGCAGGAGCTTGGACCCGGGGCTCTGCTTGACAAAGCACCAGGTCGCCGCGTCGCAGGGGCTTGTAAGTGGCGCCCCACACGAGTGTACGGGGCGAAGTGGGGCCCCGAGGAGGTAAGTGACTTGAACAGGGTCACTAAGTGAGCGGCGCGCTGGGGCGTGGGGCTCCGGCCCCGCAGGCGCTGGCTGCCACCCTCCAGGTCCCCGAGCCCGGCTCCGGGTGGGCGGCGAGCCCTCAGCCCGGCCGGCTGGGAGGGGCGGGGCGGGGGCGGGGGCCCGGGCGGGGCCGGCACAGGTGCTTCGCATCCGGCCGCGTTGGGGGGGGGGGGGAGGCTCCACGGGGGCTTTATAAGCGGCCCGGGGCGCGGCGCTGCGCGCGGCTCGCTGCAAAAATAGCGCCCACGTGTCTGCGCGTCCCTCGCCTCGCCGGCCCGCCGCCCGTCCGTCAGCCCGCCCGCCCAGCAGGGCCACGCCGGCCCCATGGCGTTCCCGCTGGTAAGAGCCGCCCGCCCGCCGGCCCGCCGCCCGCCGGGGCGGGGCGGGGCTGGGCGGGGCGCGGTCCTGGCCGCGGCAGCTAACGGTCCACGCGCAGCCTCGGCCAGCCCGGCGGCCCCCTCTTCCCCGCCCCCCCCGTGAGCGCGAGTCCCGGGCGGGGCGCGGGTCACGTGCCCGCGGGCGTGGGGCCTCGTGGAGGGGCGTGTGGCGAGGGGGGCAGGGAGCCTCCTCGTGACTCAGGGCCTTTGGGCTTAAAGGCGCCGCGGCCCTCCGGGGGCGGCCGGCGGGGCCTCCAGGCTGCGCTGCGGGCTCCCAGGGGCCTCGAGTATATGTCCAGACGGGAGCCCACCGGGCGGAGGGGCGCCTCGGCGCCGGGAACGCTTCCTCCTCCCGCAGCCGTCGCACGTGAGACCCGAAGCCGCCAGCGCAGGGAGCTCCCGCGCCTCGCAGCGCCCCCAGCGAGTCTCGTTCGTACCCAGCGGGCGGCGGGGGCGGGGGCGGGCGGCCCGGGTGGGGCGGGGCTGCGGACGGCGGGGACCCCCGCGCGGGGCCTCGGCTGGCGGGAGCGCGCCGCGACGGCAGCTGGCGTGGTTCCTTTAAGGCGGAGGGATCGGCCCCTCGTGCGGGCCGAGGTGCCGCGGCCGGGGAGGTCACATGGCTTCACACGTTCGACTGCAGGAGCCGCGTTCTGAGAGCGGGGTCGTCTAGGTGGGGTCGCACGCGGGGGCGGGGGGCCGGCGGGCACGTGCAAAGGGGGCTTCGCGGGGGGCGGGGGAGGCCCCAGGCGGCGCCTGTGAGGTGAGTCCTGCGGGCCCGGAAGGACGGACGGACGGACCGACGGGTAGGCGGCACCTGCTTCTGCTTCCCCGGCCGGCCGCGCGGACGGAGGGCAGGCGTGCGTGTGGCCTTGGTTTTGTCATTCTCTCGTGCACCCAGGTCAGCGGGGCCAGGTGCACCAAGCTGGGAGGAGGTGGAGTTACAGACTCCGCTCCGGTTCAAGTGTGGAGCTGCAGCTGGAGGGCTGCTGGCTTGGAAGGCCTGGGCCGGTACTGAAGCCTGCTGGGGGTGCTGGGGACCCTGACTGAGGACAGGTCACTCGCTCACCTTTGGCTGTGCCACTCGGCGTCGCTCCTGGGCTTTTTCCTGGTGCCGGTGTTGTCTGTCGTCCAGGAGTCCCTGACTTCGTAGCCTCGTTCGCAGGAGGCCCTGGCCAGGTAGAGGCCTGGTGAATGGCCGGGTGCTGCCCGGGCGCCTGTGGGAGCTAAGGCACACCTGGGTGCTGAAGCACACCGCCGCACGAGCGCCGGGCGCCGGAGCTGGCGGGGTGCACCTTGCGGGCCTCGGTCCTCTGCACGTGCCTCCAATTGGGATTTCGCTCCGGAGGGAGGCCAGAAGCTCGGCAGCCTCCGTGGCAGCGCCGAGAAGCTGGAGGGGGGGGGGGCGCTTCTGGGAGCCCCGTGGGGGCCTCTCCCCCCTCTCCCCTCCCCCACCCCTACCCCCACCCCGCAGTCTCGGTGCTCAGCGCTGCATTTCTCTGGCAGCTGCTTCTGGTCTCCCTGGCTACCACTCCGAAGCCACACTCCCTGTTCTGGCACCTGGGTAAACTGCTCTGCGTCATCTGTCGGGGCGAGGGGCGAGTGGGCCACTTGGCTCTCTGGGAGGCACAGGTGTGCCGCCTGACTCGTCTGCGCCCCCTCGCCTCCCCGCCCCATCAGGTGACAGAGTGCGCCAGCTGGAAGTGCGACTGGGAGGTTGGGAGGATCGTTTGCACCCTCAGGCTCCATTTGAGCCTGGGATGCACGCTGGGTTAAAAATAAGTAAATCCAAACAGGCAGCACAAAATCTTGGAAACCTCAGCTTGGTGATTGTTTCCTTGCGTGGTTGATTTGGGTCATAGGGTAGGAGAGGAGTAAAAGTTCTCCTGGAGCTCAGGGGAGCCCCTAGGGATAGCAATGCTGCGGGGCTCAGCCCTGTCTGCCGTTCCTTGCAGGACTGGCTTGGAGCTGCACTGCCCCCAGAGCACGTTGCCATAGAGTTTGGTGTTTGCCAAGTGATTGAATTGAAACTTGAGGAGTGGCCCGGCCCTGCAGGTCAGTTTGTAGAACTAGAATTTGGGAGTTGGCTACCCCATATGTAAGTCAGTCTTTGTAATATAAAAATGGTTGCCTTGCCCCCTCCCAAGGCTTGCCGGCACAGTGAGAGCTGATGCAGGTGGTGAATGATCACAGATATGTTCAGTTTGGGATGGGCCATAGGCACCTGATAAAGGAGTGAGTCTTGTGCTGTGGTTCACCTCCCATGGCAGTGATCCTGAGACAGAAAGCAGAGGAAGGTGGGGAAAGTAGGAAGACTCCAGGCTTCACACCGAACTTGTTAGCAAGTAAGCCTGTGTTAATAGCTGTCTCACTAAGTATTTTCATGAGTCATCAAGCTATTTATTTTGTTTTTAATTCTGAAAACTGGTTGCATGCTCAGATCCCTGCAGGGAACTGAGGTAACGTAAATGAGGGAAGAAGGGAGAGAAGAGTAGTGCCTACTGAGCTACAGAGTTTGTGTCTAAAGGGAGCAGCTAGTAGCAGGTTAGTGTCACACACAGACATGCAGCCAGAATTGATAGGTCTTTGACTTTTTTCCTGGTTAAGTTGACAGTTGCGGTTTTAAATGTAGAGCTTAAAAAATTGTGGCCTGCGTAAGGTTTTAAGGTAACATGTCTCTGAAGAGGAGATTAAAACTCAGGGCTGGTTTGGGATCCCAGTCTTCAAATCTTCCTTTTAGATTTTTCCCCTATTTTGCAAATGATGAGACAGGCTCAGAAATTGTTACAAGGCTGTTGGGAGATTCAAGTGTGAACCTAGCTCTTTCCTTCTCCAGGTATGATACTGTGTGCAGTCTGGTAGGTCAGAGGGATCAAGGAGTTATTGGTGGTGGACATTGTATAGGAAATGCAGTGGTTTATGGGCTGGTCCCATTTATAGGCACAGCGAAACTTAACTGCATTGGATGGAATCTCTGGTTGTTATGGAAGTCGGTGTGGGTCTTCTGAGCATTTGTGCAGTGGTGGGGTTGATGTCAGGAGGAATGTGCTGTGTCTATCATTCCGGGATGTGTGTCAGAGCAGTTAGCTGATCTGAGAGAGCCAGAGGTTTGGAGAAATCAGGCTCCTCCCACTGTGGGGGTGACCCTCCCCAATCCTCTGAGCAAAAGACTTTCCTTTTTCAGGACAGTTAAAAATTTCAATAACTTTTTCCTTCCGAGATTAGGCAAATGTGATATTATATAATTGTTTTAAGACCTTTGAAAGTAGAATATGGCTTATTAAATCTCACCTTTTCTCTCTTAGCTAAAATTCCCATAATCCTGCCTCCTAGATTTTCAGGAAGAATTAATAAGGGTTTTAGCAGTATGTGCTTAAGATCTTCTGGAATAAGCTTCCAGAACATAAAGTAGCCCTGTGCCAAGAATGAGCAAATGGGTTTTCATTCTGGGTGAAACTTAGGCACACAGAAGTGTACATAGCCACACTAGCAGATGTAAAGGGGTATGTACCTTTATTTCCATATTTTTTCCCAAACGGCTTAAATCATAAAGCAGTAGAGACCATACTCAGAGCCTTTGCCAAAGAGATTTTTTTTCTAAAAATGCAGACTCAAATACAAATTAGATAACTTTTTTTTTTTCTTTTAAACCTGTGGTCTGGTAAGTTTTTGGAAAGACAGAAACTTTAGAATGTTTTCTGGTGTCCAGCTGATTCTCTAGCAAACATTTTTATTTTTATTTATTTATTCATGAGACACACAGAGGCAGAGACCTAGGCAGACGGAGAAGCAGGCTCCCTACAGGAAGCTGGATGTGGGTCTTGCTCCCAGGACCCCAGGATCACGACCTGAGCAGAAGGGAGGTGCTCAACCACTGAGCCACCCAGAGGCCCTTCTAGCAAACATTTTTAGTTCAGGCACTCAGTTGTGAGTTCAGTGTTTGTGAATTTGGGGGTGGGTAGGAGAAAAAGTAAGGTGACTAAAATAGCTGTCTCTTTGCATTTTAGTATTCATGTGGTAGACATTATCTGTGCAGACTTTCTCATTCATTGGTTTCCCGTCCCTTGGCTAAATGACCACTGCCTAAAACAATGTGTTTAAAACGCTAATTAATTAATGGGTTCGTGCTTCTGGCTTGAAGTTTGGGACAGGAAAGCATATTATACCTGGATATTAACGTGTAGGCTGTTGTCTTCAGCCGCTAGTTGTGGAGTCAGTAAAAGAATCCTAGAATCAAATAACAAATTATTCTTTTCCTATGGAAGAGCTGTGCTAATCCCATCCTGTTCTGCAAATCTGCGTTTCCTAAACAGTATCTAAGCTATACTGACTCTGGGGAGAACTTGCCAGAAACCCTGGGGACAGAGGGTGAAGGGTAGGAAGGGGGCTAGACCTAGAGGTTGGAGCAGAGGAGGTTACAAGAATTTTTGCTCCTGTTTGATTGAAAGCCAAGAAGTGTTGATTGCACCCTTTCAGTATTAAGCCTTTTGCTTACTGCCAACTCAGTCTCCCTGGCCCCCCACATTGCAGCTTTGGAAATACTCATTGTTTTCTTTCCTGCCTTTGTTGCTGCCTGTTTTTGGTTATACCTCCTCTTGAGAGCTCATCCCTTCTGCTGTAAGCACAGATTCTCAGGGCTGAAAGTTTTTATGTTCAAGATAGGACTCCCAAAACAAGGCTACTATCTCAATTATAGTAAACTGGCTGAAAGTACAGAACAAAAAGGCACATCATATATGTAATATTTTGCATTTTTCATGGGAAAATTTCTGATTCCATAAAAAGTCAATACCCAAATTTCAGTGTTGAATTTGTCTTGTAATGATAATTTCCACTGAGTTTTGTTATTGAGAGTTTAGAAGTGTCCTGTCAGGGATTGTTTTGCTTTCTTAACCTATAGTGTGTTTTTAAATAACAGACGCGTGGGGGAACATTCCTTACTAAATGGGTTGAGCTTTGTGTGCAGAAGAACACTTAGGCATGTTTCTACTTCGTTTCTAGTATTCCTGTATGGTTGGAGCACCCTTTAGATTGCAATGAGTTAACACTCTTTTGTTTTGATTTTTTTAAGGCATTTTGTGATGACTCGCCTTGAGGTAATTGTAGAATCCTCAGAGGACAGGTCTAAAGATTGATTTGTGTTTGGAAAATGGGTCACAGTTAAACCTAGCTGTTGACTCTGGGAGTAATTTAACTATACAAGTATTACTCGTTTCTTTATTCTTGGCCAGCATTATATGCAGATACATGTACCATCCTGATGGGTTTAGCATCTTGATCCAAAGTCTCCTTGGATAAAGGTATGGGAGTAGCTCTCTGTTGGAGGCAGGGAGTTACCTTGAGGGGCTGGTTGTGGTTTTTATTTTTATTTTTTTTTTTTTTGGTCTTTTTTGTCTTGTCTTTTGACGGAACACTTAATCTCTTGCTACTTAACACCTGTGCTCTCTACATTCTGGCTTTGTGCTCCTGGCTCTGATACCATCTGTCTCCTGAGTCCTTTCTCCTGAGATTTTTTTTTTTAAACTAATTCTGGAATTGTTATGAACCTCAAAAGATATTAGAGACCCATCTCCCAGGTATAACTCAAAGTTGACACCAAACACAGATTCTAACGTCTACCTATTTTGTCAGACAGGAGAACTAAGCTTAGCATGAGAGTGATTGTTTTAGGGTAATTCAGTGAATGGATGATAGTCATCTTCATTTCCATACTGGTATTTCTAGAATTCATGTACCTCGACCTTTGCTATATTGGTCTCTGATTATCTCCTAAAGTTTCCGTTTGTCTCTAAGATTCTGTAGCTCCACCCCCCCACCACCCCCAAGTAGATCTTTGTCCAGGCACTTACAAGTTTCCTCCTCCCCCTGAATGCCACATTCCCTACGGTTCATTCTGTTGGCTCTTCTTTCCCCTTATACAGAGGGCTTGTGTATTCCTGCTGTACTAGTTCTCTGAACAAATTTAAGGTTGAGCTCTAGCCCTGATTGTTCTCAAAACCCATGGTTTTGACTGGCCTACTGAACGAGTTGTCAGAGGCATATTAAATTCAGCAGGTTTAAAAACAACCACAGGGCAGCCTGGGTGGCTCAGCCATTTAGCACCGCCTTCCACCCAGGTTGTGGTCCTGGAGACCAGGGATTGAGTTCCACATCAGGCTCCCAGCATGGAACCTGCTTCTCCTCTGCCTGTGTCTCTACCCCTCTCTCTCTCTGTCTCTCATGAATAAATAAGTGGAAAAAAATTTAAATGCTAAAAACAAACAACCAGGATGTCTGGGTGGCTCAGTCAGTTAAGCGTCTGCTTTGGGCTCAGGTCATGTCCTGCATTGGGCTCCTTGCTCAGTGGGGAGCCTGTTTCTCCCTCACCCTCTGCCTGCCACTCTCCCTGCTTGTGT